CGCCTCCCCCTTCCTCCATCCCCCACGCAAGCCATCACTGGTCACAGTAACATTTTCCTGTCAGCATTTATCTTCTCCTGGACTACCCGTCTTTGGTATCTGCTCCATTCGTTAGTGTGTTAGTTCGTCTTACCCCCTCGCCCCCTTGCGCCTACCGGACGTCATGCCAGGATGGAGAGGAGTAAGACGGAGGAGATGCGGCGCATTCTGACAGACATACGTGACAGACTTAACCAGCGGCCTGGAGGTGGTGGCGGCGGCGGCGGCAGTACAGGCACCATGACGCAGCAGGGCCCCGGCGGCGGCGGCGGCGGCGACGGCGGCCTGTCCCCCGCCGAGTCGTTGACCTTCCCCTCCGCCACGGCCTACATCAGCCCTCTGGACATCACGGCCGCGCAGGGCCTAGCCACCTACTCGGCCTTCGTAAATACACCCTCCGCCGCCGCGGCTGCCGGCGGCGGCGGTGGCGGGTCGCGGTACGGCAGCGCAGCTGGCGTCAGCATCTCTGGACTGCCGCAGTCGGACATGGGTCCCACCAAGGTCCGGGTGTAAGTGTCGTAAGTGTCGTACGTGTCGTAGTAGGGGGGGTATAGATGGTAATATCGTTTAAGTAGGTCAGTAGTAAGTGCGGATGGAGGGGCGACCGGCGCGATGTTGTTGTTGTTGTTGTTGTTGTTGTTTTCCTCTATCGTGCGTTGAGGTCGCGCCCTAACCCCCGCTCTGTTCCACTCCTCGCCCCCTCTCCTCTCCACTCCGATGCCGCCCCCCGAATGAGGGTGAGGACGAAGGTAATGGCGATGCGGTGCAGGGCCGAACCCTGCCTCCCCTCCAGTCGCATTCCCCCCTTACCTCTAACTCCCCTTGGGTCCCCCTTCTTAGCCTGCCTCCCCACGTACCCCTCCCCACGTACCCCTCCCCACGTACCCCTCCCCACGTACCCCTCCCCACGTACCCCTCCCCACGTACCCCTATCCGAACCCCGGGCCCCCGGCCTCCCCTCCCTTAACTCTCCGGCCTCCCGGACCTCCCTTAACTCTCCGGCCTCCCGGACCTCCCGCAGATTTGTTGACGAGGACGCCATCAGAGAGCAGGAGCGGCAGCGGGCGGTGCAGGTGCTGGCAAGGCAGGCGGAGAAGCTCAAGCAACAGGTGAGAAGTGGAGGGTTGAGGAGGGGAGAAGGAGGGGGAGCGCAGGGTTGAGGAGGGGGCGAGGTGAGGAAGGGGCAAGGGAGGAGGCAGTAAAGTTGTTCGCAGCAGCTAAGGAGGTATGGGCTGTGGGAGAAGGTACACAGGATTCAAACCCGAGAGCTCGGGAGGACAACGGAACCAATTTTAACCCGCAGGTGGATTGTCGCAGTGAGGGGCGCAAGCCGGGGGGGGGGAGGGCGCCAGTGGGGAGTGGAGGCGGCGGTACCTGAGGGCATGTAGGGGGGCGTGGTTGGGTGGTGGAGGGTGGCTGGGGTTAGGCTGGAACAAGGTTTCGTTGAGGAGGAGGAAGAGGAGGGGGCGGCAGGGGGCTAATGATTGCATAATGAAAAAACACAGCTGCCGAAGTGTGTGGGAAGGGGAGGGGAGGGGGGTTATGCCGGCAGGAAGTGTGGGTGTGTGGGTGTATAGCCGGGGCTCGGAAAGCTCCAGTTCCAGCTCCTCCATACCTTTCTTTTCTTCTCCCCCCTCCTGCCCCCTCCTCTTCCTGCCCTTTTTTACCGAAAAACACACTTGCAAGGCCCTCCCCCAGCTTCCAGTTGTGTCTCCTCCTGGCCCCGGGTGGCTCCCCGGCTTACCACCACCAGCCGCTCTTAAGTGGCCGAAGCGTCTGATTTATGTATTATTGTCCCCCCCTTCCTATGGTTCCTTCCAAACCCTCCAATCCTTCCAGATGCTTCGCGAGCACCAGGAGCGCCGTCTGGTGGCCTCCGGAGGGATCCCCTCGACCTCCCCACCCGCACTGGGGGGGGTAGCCAACAGGGCATCGTCCGTACAGCACTTGATTGGGGGCAAGGTAGGGGAGCGGGAGGGGGGAGGGGGGCAAGGTAGGGAAGGGGGGAGAAGGGGAGGGCAGGGAGGGCAGGGAAGGCAGGGGGACGGGGGGTGTTAGGAAACACCACACACAATGCAGCCCCCCTACCCCCCTTACTTGGAGCCACCTCCCCACCTCCCTATTGCACCGCCTCACTCTCATCTCCCTCTCCCCCCGTCCGCCTCCTCGTCACACACACCCCGTCTTCCCTTTTGCAGGAAGGGCCGCGTCACAGCCGGCAGTCGAGCAGGTGGGGTGGGGTGGGGTGGGGTGGGGTGGGGTGGGGTGGGGTGGGGTGCGGTGGGGTGGGGTGGGGTGGGGTGGGGTGGGGTGGGGTGGGGTGGGGTGGGGTGGGGTGGGGTGGGGTGGGGTGGGGTGGGGTGGGGTGGGGTGGGGTCGGGTGGGGTGGGTGGGGTGGCAGCAGGGTAGTCAGTGCAATAGTGGATTAGATAGTGGTGGTGGTAGTGGGTGTGTGGAACTGCTGGGGGGGCTGTGGGGCTCCCGGGTCCTTGGGCGGCAAGCACCCGCGCTGCCTGGCAGGTGGTAGGCACATGGACACACAACCGCCGCTCCAACCGCCACTGAAACGACCGCCAACGAACCCTCCAACCCCCGGCATGTTCAACACTGTCCTGTGTTTCCCCACCCGAACGCTTCGGCCACACACACACCCTCAAACATGTCTATGTCAACAGAGAGGGCATTGGCATTGGCAGCGGTATTGGCATGGGAGGTGGAGGTGGAGGTGGAGGTGGAGGTGGTTCCTCACGGCGCCCAGGTGGGCCACGTCGTTCCAGTCCGGGAAGGAGCAGTCGCCCGGGCAGTAGCACACACATCTCCCGACAAAACACCACATACGCCACAGCGGCCACTGCGGCCGCAGGTACACCCCAATACACCCAACCGCCGGACTACAGCTCAGATCCTGAACAGCAGCTACAGCCATCGCGGCAGCAAGTGATGTACGGGTCGTACGAGCCGCAGGTAGTGATGGTTGCGTCATCCTCTCGCCATGGCAGCAGCGGCGGCGCCGGCAGTGGCGGTGGCGGCGCCGCCCCTGGAGGCGGCAGCCGGCCGCCCAAACCGTTCTCGCGGCTGTCCGGGATGCATGGCAGCCTCGGGGACCTGCCGATGGCGTCAGCGGCGGTTGCGGGAGTGTACGGCATGGCCGGCGGCAGCGGTGGCGGATCGCGGTCGGGCACCGCGTCTGGGGGCCCTGGGCAGGAGGGCCGAAGTGGGGGAGGAGGTGGGGGAGGTGGAGGAGGAGGATTCCGACATCGGAGCTTATCAGAGAGTGCTGAAGGCGGGTGACTGGCGGGATTGCACGTTCAGAGTTGCGGTTGGGAGAGTGGGGGGGTGGGGGAGGATGTGCGCCGGGGATTGGAGAGATTGAAAGGCGGGAAAACCGCCGCGAGAATGCGAGAAAATTACCCTACCATGTGGATGGTACCACCCAATATGCGCGCGCTGGCGGTGGTGGTGGAGAGGGGTTCCGGAACGGGTAGCGGACTGACGCTGTGTTGCAGGGAGACCTTCCACATCTATATCTCTCTGTATACGTGTACATGCACGTGCGCGTGCACGTGTGTGTTTCGGTGGTCGTGTTGGTGGTGAGTAACGCCTTTTGTGGAGGCGTCGTAGAAACAGTAGCGACAGGCTGAGAGGAGATTATGGTAGGAAAGTAACAAGTACAGCAGCAGCAGCAGCAGCAGCAGCAGCGGGGGGGGATGTGGGCCATGTGTGCCGCAGGGCGGGGAGCGGGACGGGTAAACTCGTTCAGGTGCACCTGAGAGAGAGACTTCCAAATTAAGCCACGCTGCCACCCCCATGGCACCCCCTCAACACCGCACCCAACCTCATGCACGGGGTAAAGAAAGACAAGAAACCCCCTCCCTAGACCCCTTGGGCCCCTCTGGTACGGTACCAGATGGAGGGCGGCCTCCGGACGTCCGGATGTGGCAGTCACAGCGGCTCACATGGAGAAAGAAGACAGCACGCTCCTCCGTACAGAAGCACAATTGCATGTCGTACTAACACCCGCCCCTGTCGTCCCACACAACCACCGACACTCCAGCAGGTTCCGGAGCCTTCATCGCTGAATAGAGCTACTACTGCTACTACTGCAGCACCGCCACCCTCAACCCCCCTCCCGCCTCCACCCGTCCGGACCCTCGACTACCACCCAACACCACCCAACACCACCAACACCCAACAACTCCAACACTCACCACCCCCACCCCCAATCCCCCACTAGCACCAACACCAACACTTGCAGCCACCGCCGTCGGGCGGCAGTCTTGGAGGAGGAGAGCGTTTGTCAAAGGAAGGGCGTTAGCGCTGGTTAGTTACAAGTTGCGAGTTCCACACACACACACACACGCACACACACACACACACACACCCAACACACACACACACACGTACGTGGGTGTCCGTAGAAGTCTGAGGGGGGGCATGGAGGGTAAGCGGGTGATTCGCGGGGTGACGGGACGCAGCGGCGGCGGCGGTGGCGGTGGCGGTGGTGGTGCGGCTATTAGGGTTCTTCCTTGCGGTGGTGGCGCAGTACGGCAGCGGTACGACACCTAACTTTGAAAAGGTGTATGTCCGTATTGGTAAGGCACGGACCAATGCCCCCGGGAGATCCCGGGATTGAGACCTGTCAGGGTCGAAAACCCTTCCGATTGTGGAAGGTAAAGTGCCCCTAGTCGATGGACTGTGGTGACCTGGGATTAAGTTGACCTGCGAGCCGACCAGGAATGGAGTCGGGCCGCTGTCGACCCGGCAGATTCCGTTGGATGCTGGTGGTGGGTGCGGAACCTGAGCGATCCACTGAGAAGTTGACTAGGGTGACTGGATGAGGGTGCCCTGCAATACCGGGGAAGATAGGGTTTCGGTAGCTGCCACGGGTGAAGATATGCCCCCCTGTTCCACACATTATAACTACGTACAAACGTAACGCTCAACATTTCAGGCACCTGAACTCGAAACACACATTGTGGAGCAATCTAAACGGTTTCAAATCCAACACGTGTTTTTTCACGATGTGGAGACAAGGTTTCAAATCCGATTCGGACAAGACTCCGACCCCTTAAGGTGGTCGTAAGGAATGTGCGCACGAAAATCAGCTAACGGGGATTCCTCAGGGGATGGATTTTTTCGCGCCTCAGCTCGCTTATGTCCCGGACGAACATTCTTTGTGGGCGACCAAACAGGCCATGTATTGATAGGTGAGCACTGCTACTGCTACAGCTAGTTACAGGTTGCAGGGGTGGTGGTGGTGGTGGTGCGCTAGGGTTTAAGACGCCTGTGTGCTGCGGGTGATGGTGTTGGACCAAAAAGCCTGTTTAAACTTTTTCACCGATGGTAATATTTTAGTGACCAAGTGGTTACTGTTGGGGGCTTCCTAGGTAACCACTTTGCAAAACTTTTTCCCCCGCGAATACGCTGAACAGGAGCTCACTAGAGCCATGCATCCGAAGATCCAACTTAACAACACTCATTCACGGCTTTAAACAGGCAAGACGACGCTTATACATCAATCTGTTTATTTACACGGATATACGTACAGATGAAAGATTTGGCCGGAAGTACTATGTACACATAGAACCCAAACCATGCCCACTTCTTAAAAAGCAGCGCACACCGCAGCTTGACACGTCAAGATTTGTTCTGACTTCATGTTAGCGCCAACTTCTCACTGCCCGTGGTGGTCCGCCCAGCGGTAGGCAGCCGACTCGTTCCAGTGCTGCAGTGCTGCTTTGTACGGAAAGCTTTTTAGGTGGTCACTACCCGGGGGGTCCGTAGCCCCCTATTTCCCGGCGACCACCTGGTTGTGTATAATACTGGCAGGTGACTCTAAGAAACATATTTCCTAGTGACCGATCACCTTCTGGAAGGGAATTATTTTCTCAGTAACCATGTGGTCACTAGTAATCCCTATTTTTAAAGCACTGGGCGCAGCATGCGCACCATTATGACTGAGGCGCCACCCCTGGCATTGGCCAGGTACCTCTCGGAAATCTGGGAGGCCAGGCACGTCGCGCTAAGGGGTGCTTCGCGCTGAAGCTAACGAGGAGGGAGGAGGATGGTGACCTCCCGCGTACCCGCATCAATACCAATATAACGTCCATGGCCCCCTCCCCCGGCTTTTACGGACACACACCCGCACTTGCGTGCGGAACTTGTAACTATAGCATTCCAGCGCACCACCACTACCACCACCCCACCTCAGCCCGACTTATACTTCCAAACTGTCAGAGATCTGATCCGAACAACTCAGTGTGTGCCGTACACACACATATACACAACGGATCGTTCATAGTGCATTGGCACTCCGTACAGTGTACGACGCGTCCCTTGTTTGTTCCCCTGCCATCACCACGAGGCAGTTTATGTTGTTGGGGGAGGGGCAACTCGACCACACGCTCACACACATACACACACATGCTACGTGAACTAGAGCCGAGGGGGGAGGAGGGGGAAGGGGAAGGGATGGGGAGGAGCTCTCTCCGTGTGTACGGTGAGGCCAGGCCACCCGTGGGGAACGAGGTGGGTGCCAGACCAGTGAAGTACGACACGGTTTATAAAACACACACACAGGGAATGCCCTTACATGTTCACCACCACCAACAGCATCCGAGGACAGTCCTCGTTGCCAATTGCTGGTTCGGTCCCACGGGAAAGTTCCTCTGGTTAGACAGACAGACAGACAGACAGACAGACAGACGGGCCGCAGCGGATGGCAGGGAGACAGAGCAGAGACGGACAGATAGACAAACAGACAGACAGGCAGGCAAGGAGGAGACCGAGACCGAGTTCTTTTCCGCAGGAGCCCTAAAACCCTAATGGACAACCCTAAACAAAGCAGCCTATCGGGCCCCCTGGGGCCCCACCTTCGCCAACTACCTCCCCTCCTTTCCGCCAACCAAATAAATCCTCTCCCCCAACCAATTCTCCGTCCTGTACGGCAGCCTACAACGTAAACCAACCGCATCCACTGCACCGCATACCCATCCAAGGAAGGCAATGATATTACAATAATAAACCAGCTGGGCAACTAACAACTAACCAACCAGTACTGCAGTTATCCCTCCTAATTATCCGCCAAGGAAGCCGATCAGCACACAACCGCAATGCTGTGGACGACCAAGCTTCAAGAGGTGGAAGACGCGGAAGAGAAGGAGAAGACCGTACAGTACGGGGCGCAACACGTCAATGTCAATGTGCGAAGTCTTCATACTAATAGTAATAGGGTTCAGGTGCGACATGCGTTACAGCCCCAAAACGGGTCAACCACCATGATGCATCACCATACGAAAAATGGTAAAGAGAACCGGAACCCGAGGATGCAGCCGTTGGCTGGTGGTTGCGTGGTGGGTTGTCGTTAATCCGGTAGTTGTGTCCCCACAACTGCTGGTTGTGTGGTGGTTAAGCTGACTGTGACGGTGACGGCGATGAAGGTGCCGCCTCTCTGTAGCAACCGCAATAAATAAATTATGTCGACCCATCAAGGCGATGCATCAAGGCGGCAACCTAACGGCCAGGGGGTTTCCAACTGTCGGAGAGCACCGGCACAGGCACAGGCGTGTCGCCCCAACCGCCTAACCACCGCCAAATAAAATTGTCTTACATGAAGCAGGAAATAAAGTTGCAATAAAAAATACTTCGCCACGCGGTCCATCTCCTATCGAAAGACGCAGACAAGCAACAACACGAGAACGCCAAACACCAGGAGGGGTCTGTTGAGGGGGCAAATACGCCCTAAAATTTAAAGTTCCGATAACAGGACATGGATGACATACATACATACATGACAGACACACATACAAATACAGCCCCTTCTCACCCCAAAACACTCCCACGCCTCCTGCGTTCGAGCGACCGCTCCATACGACAATTTTGATGCACATAAAAGCTCTTCATCCAGCCTCCCCGCCCGCCGCCCCCTCAACCCGCCGGGGTCCCCCTCAGGAGGACTCCAGGGGGGCTACACACGACCCAGCTCCGTTCCAGGGAGGGGTGGAGGGGGCCATGGGGCTGTAGGAGGGTGTACATGCGCGGGCATTGCTTTAAATTGGATTGCTTTGCATTGCTAGCCTCTGCATTGCCACATTACCACGTAGGTTTGCACCATATGCACACACATGCATTACTCGGCCCGGCAACGCAAGCCAGGCTGCCGACTCTCCCCTCACAGACAACACCAATACACAACACTCAGAGCCTAGGAGCTGCAGCGCCTTCCTCCCCTCCCCTCCCCTTCCCTTTCCTTCACCGCCACCAGCGGGGTTATACTCCCGCAGGTCAATGACCCCCCTGGATACAAACCGCACCCCTCGTCGTCGCCGCTGCCGCCGCCGCGGTTGACGTTGCCGCCGTTGGCGGTTGTGGCAGTTGTGGCGGTTGTGGCGGCGGCAGCGTGTTAGTGGACAGCCCCGATGACGTCCGGCGCCCGGCGGCCTGCAGCAGCAGTTGACTGCTCCGACGGAAGGACCCGGGCCCGGGGTACCTGGGGGTGCAGCTGGCGGCGACGGCGACGGCGGCCTCGTCCGTCGTTTCCAAGACCGCCCGCGTATCCAAATCCCCAAGTAAGCTGCCTCCACCTCCAACGCTACCACAGCACCCCACGCCGCCGCCAATGCCGTACGACGTATTCGACGAACGACGGAAGCTGCGGGGGCTCGCACATGGTGATGACATGCCGCTTGCTGGAGCGGTGGCGGCGGCGGCGACGACGGCGGCGGCGGCGGAGGTAGATGCTGAAAGACCGCTGTGCAACCCCGGATGTCCGCCAGCGCCACCGACGGCACTGCCGCTGCCGTACATCGCGCCGGACCCAGGCAGCCTCGGCAGCAAGGAATCTGAGCCACGGTTGCTGACGCCACCTCCGCCGCCGGGATAGCTACCCGACGCGGCGACGGCACTGCCACGTCGGCCGCTGCATGCGCCGCCGCCGGCCCCTCCGGAACTCGCCAGGATAACCGGTAGCGAGCCGGCCTCCGTAACGCTCGGGCTCGTGGAGGGCTCCGCTACGCTGCCGACCAGGACGGATTTACCACTGGATGCGGCCATAGGGCCCAGTACGTCGCGCGGACCGTATGGGGCCGCCGGGGGCACGCCGCCACCTCTGCCGCCACCGCCTCCACCTCCGCCACCCGCTGCTGCTGCTGCCGGTCCAAGGTACGACAGGCCAGCTGATGACGGCGGTCGGCCGACAGCACCAGTACCCCGCGTAAAGCTGCCGCCACTGCCGCTCCGTACACGGTTAGACTGTACGAGCTCGTCCTACAACCATTGCAACCAGTTCGTTGAGGGGGGTGGTCGGCGGCTTAGTGATAACCTAGGAGGCGTGGAGAGGAGGCGATATTGGAGAAGAGGGCTGGTGCGCGAAGAACTTTATCACACACTTGGTGTGTGCAGTTGGAGGGGTGAGTACGAGCAAAGTACGAGATTACACATACACACGGAACTCTCGTCACGCACCCCCTGTAAACCCCCTTTCTCCGTTCCACCCGCCCTCTCCCCCCTCCCCCCTTCAGAGTGCCGCCGTACCAGGATCTGCGCCATTTCGTCGTCGCAATCCGGGTTACAGTACGACAGATCTCCCGCGTCAAACCTGCGCACGGGTGTTGTACGGCAGAGGGTAGAGGGCAGGTGGGTTGGGGTGATGCCAGCCGATCCTGATGGCTACGACCCATCACCCCAGGGGGGGGGGGAACCCCCTAAGACATCTCACCACCACCACCACCGCGACCACCACAATCTGAAAGGCGGCCGCAAGCGTTGATGGTTTGCACCCACCATCATCACCACAAGCTCGCTATGGTGGTGGTGGGTGCAACCTAGGGGCAGTTCGCTAAACACCCAACTGGCCATCAGCGGCGGAAGGACCGGCTCCCCAACCCCCCCTAAGGGCTCCCACTCATCATTCGGACGGTGTACGGCAGCCGCCCCCCTCGCTTGGCAGTAAGGATAAAACCCCGACTTCTCCCGCCCCACCCACCATCGCCCGGTCCCTTCCACGATGTCAAACGGAATCGCCTCATCGAGATTTGCCGCGCCTGGCCCCGCCGCTGCTGACGTATCTGTACGGCTTTTGCCATCTGCCGCTGTCTCCTGCCCACCATTGCTACAGCCGCCGCCGCCATAGCTACCGCTACAGCCCCTGCCGCCGCTACTGCCTGCCGAGCCCGCTGACCCCCCCGCCGACGCCAACATGGCCATCAGCGACTGCGCGGAGAAGCCTCGGGGGAGCAATCCCTGTTGCGCTGTCGGGGCCGACGGCGGTGCAGCTGGCGCCGCCATGCTGTACAGCAGCGCTGGGCTAGTTGTACATGATGGCAGCCCTGTCGTACTTCCGCTGCGGCGGCCACTGGGCGGTGGTGCCCCGGCGGCGGGATGTGCGGCGGCGGCGGCGGCTGCTTGCTGCTCCCTGCAGTGGCGATGAATGTCGGGAGAGTCGCCTCCGGCGGCGGCGGCGGCGGCGGCGGCCTGGTGGCGCGGTTGTGGCTGCTCCGAGCCCCCCCCGGCTTTTTGGGAATGCGTCTGCTGCTGTGTCTGCTGCAGCGCAGACTGCTGCTGCGATGCTAACTGCGCCACGTGCTGTGTCGGCGGTGGAGTCGGGGGGGGCTGCGGCTGGTGCTGCTGCCGTGCGCCATCGATTGTCGTGCTGCTGACGCCGCAGGTGGCAGGACGGAGCACCCTCCCAAACCCATAACCGACCACGGGCTGTTGCTGCGGCTGCTGCTGCTGCTGCTGCGGTTGTGGCGTCGGCCCCAACGGCACTGACACCTGACGGAGGGACGGCAAACGTACGACAGATACCGAGCCTGACACGGCGCCGCCAGGTCCCACGCTGCTGCTACTGCTGCTGTTGCACGCCCCGCAGACAGGCGTGGCAGTAGCCGCTACGGTGGCGCCAAGGGCGACGGCGGCGTCGGCGGTATTCAATATCGAACCCTGCCGGCGGAGGAAGCCGCCGCCACCTGTGGCGGCCGAGATGCCGCCGCCGCCGCCACTGCTGTTACTCCAACTGGCCCCGCCGGCGCTGCTAGTGCTGGCCCCGCCAACAAAGTCAGATGCTACGGCGTTTGTACTGCTCCGGCAAAGCACCGACGGCGATGGCGGATGGCCGCCTCCGAAGGCTGTCCCGCTAGGGGGTGCGGCTGCGGGTTGAGCGGCCGCGGCCGCGGATGCTGCCGTGGCGGCGGAGCCAGCCGAGCCGGCAATCCAGGCGAAGGCCGCCGCGTTATCTATGGAACTCCTCGTGCGGGTCACGTGACCGACAATGGGCGACGGCAGCGCCTGTCGAGGCGTGGCGCAACCACTGCCGCTGACTGTCGGGCTCAGGCGAGCCGTACTGTTACCGTACTCTGGTGTGTACGGGAAGGACGATGGACACAGAGACGAGTCGCAGACGATGAGGCCGCCGGCGCGAGTACTGCCACTTTCCTGGGCTCCAGGGGTAGCGATTTGGCGGGGCGTTGTCGTACGAGTTGGATCGCACGTGTCCATCGCGTACAAAGTCACGCTACTGTGACGGGCCCAGCGCTTACTGTGTGCTATGTCCGTGTCGATGTGCGACTGAGACTTCTGCTTTGAAGGAAGCTTTAGCATCTTTCGCTTTTGTTGTTGTTGTTGTTGCAGTTGCTGTTGCAGCTGCTGCAGTTGCTGTTGTTGTGAATAAACTTCCTGGCTCCTTTGATCCTGGAGGCGCTCGCTGGTCGCCTCATCGATGTCCCTTTTTCCGCTTTCCTGCTGAGAGGTCTCGCACGTCGTCGCCAGGAACCGCTGATACTCGTCATCGTACTGGGATTTTTGGCGCCAAACTGGATAGGTTGGTGCGATTGTGTTTGCAGTGGTTGGTTACACAGCGGCAGTTAGAACGTGAAGAGAGCATATAGCATCCTTTCCAGCAACTCAATGGACAGTTGCAGCAAAAAAACACCTTGTCGGCTTGAGGCCAAACAAGTTGCTTTGGTTGTTTGGGAAGCAGTATTTGGTGCGCGACGGAGGGCCATGGCTCTGAAATGTTCGAGTTGAAACACCAACGGCGAAAAAAACTCAAAGAGCGGATACCCTGGAACCCCTATATGCTAGCATGCGTGAGTCACCGCGTATGGAAAAATTGAGCCATTTCGCTCTCTTCGTGGCTAATCGACCTAAAAGGATAGTTAGGGGTTTGCCGTCTTCCTGCCCAGGATAAATCCCCTCAATACACAGTTGCAAATGACTTACCATCAGATGCTCGGTTCCTGCCGGCCAGGCTTGCGTAAACCGTCGCTTTGGAGGTCCCAATCTGCTTGTCAGCCGCCCCCTGCCCAGCCCATCTTCCGAAACCGTCACCATCCTCCGACTCCGTCCGCGTGCGTATGCCAACCTGTGCAATTGCTAAGATGGTCATGACTGGCCTGCCGCGCTCGCACTCGGGGCAGAACCTGCAAACACTCACCTTCCGAAGGCTATTAAGCGCGCGGGTAAGAGCTTCTATGCGGCCCATCCTAGTCGTCCCTTAACAGTACATTCGCAAGCAGGCTAATGAATGCCTAATGCTAGAAGACCATAAGAACCGTGTGCAGAACACTGGGAAAAGGTGTGTAAGGCGATACAATTCTAATTTTTCACAAAGACATTAAAAAGGGGGCCACAGAATCTGCGGAAAATCTACTTAGGTATGGATAGGTGATACATAGTATCGGGGATACATATTGTCGGACCCCTAATGTTAAATGTGCAGGGTACATGAATGCAATGAGATACATATCAGCTCTAACTTCGTGCAAACAAGTGCTCCCTCGGGCACTTTCCTGCGCGGCGTAAGCTCTGGCGGAAAGATAGTACGGCAGACAGTGGCTTTCAGCCATTTCAGAACTGGTTTATGTGCTTGCAACTTCCCATACCGTGAGGACTTCTCAGGTCCGGTTGAATCTTCACCACAGTGCTGGTCGCATCGAAGCTCCTGCAACAGCCGAATATTTGCGGCCCTTGCGACCCTTCATTAGCCCGAGAGCGGTGTGAGACAACGTGAAATTTTTAAAACTAGATACGGAAATGGACTCTCTCTCGATTGCAAACATGTTGCAGAGAGAGCCGTGTGGCAGCTTCCTCCCTACTGATGTGGCTGACATGGCGATGATCTAGCGTCAATTACCCTTTTTGAGGATTATATCTGGCAAATTGATTTGTTCGCGAGAGCGGTTACCGATGAGAGGTTAATTATCTGAGATGATAATCTTTTGGTATATTAGTCTCTACTGCAGTGCACGGCCAGCTGGCCCGATGGCTCTACTCTTCGGGAGTCTGGAGCCCACTGTAACAACCACACACCACACACACCTAAAAGTTTGCCAAGTTTCGGCGTCCCAGTCCTAGGAGACCATTGGCCTTGCGCGCCTCGCTAAAAAAAAAAAGTTATTACACACCCAACTGCCACGACTGCCAGCACAATGAAATTATATCTTCCCCTGCTACTCCCTGCATGCGCTTTTATCCGTCTACATTCACAACCGACACCGACAAGCCCCCGAGCCCCACAGTCCCCTAATCCCAGCTAATCGCCTGCCTGGCAGCTAGTGTCACGCAGACACACCAAACCCATCAACACCCCGGAAGGAGCACAATGCGGCCTGCTCCTCACCCATTTCGTAGATCATTCGTCCCCACATGGACCCAACAACACTGCTACTTTCCGCAACGCTCTTCCATACACTTCACAAGAGCGACAAAACGCCGATATAAAACACGCGATGAGAGTCCATACTAAACAGTACGTGTGCGTATTTTCGCAGGACCGGCTCGCCACGCGCGATTACGAGTAGTCCTATCCCGTCATTAAAACTGCACCTACATGCGTAACCCCTCAACACAGAAGACGCGAAACACGCAACGGCGATTCGCTACCTATCAACCATCCCCTTCTTCCACAATTTACAGCTTCTACTTAAGTGTGATAGTCCACGAGGGACATTGGCAAACGCTTTATCCCCTCCTCCCCCTTCAAATGTACCTCACCCCACGCATACATGGTGCCGTTGGTGTTGCCTGGGGTTGCACACCTCCACCCGGGCAGGAACCACTGGTATTCCCGCACACCCCTGCCCCCTCGGGTAAACACACCGAGCCTACTCCTCCAATCCATATCAGCGGACCTTCCCTGGAGTCCTCCGATATGAACTACTGCTGCCCTAGACCCCAGACCAGGAGTCACAACCCGGGGTTAGCCCCCTCTACACCTTCACCTTCCCCGAGGACGGATCCAGATCCCACCCCGCCAGAGCTTCCTGGCGCTCTGTGTGCGAAAAGCTAGTCAACGCGAACGCAGCTCGCCGTTTCGCCCCCGAGGAGGTGACACCTCCTGATGACACACACCATATCATATGAATCTTGCACTCGTACACGCTTTTTGCTCGGTCAGTTTGTCTGTATGTATGTATGCCAGCCTGTGAAGTCAGGTCGTCTCTCTGTCTGTCAGCGGGCCAGCCAGCAAGCCAGTCAGGCCCTAACATACCAATGGCTGACAGGCGAACCTCGCCCCCGGTAGTGGTTATGCTATGCTAGCTATGTGGCAGCTGTGGCAGCAACCAATCCAGAGGGCAGAAACCCTCACCCCTCACCGCTAGTGCAATGACGACCCGCAGTTCTTTCTCTGTGTGAGTGTACGCTGCACGCGGATGCGCTAATGGGCACCGCCAAGATTCACCGCACACTAGCCTGGTCGGCCCCTCTCAAAGGCCCCATTTCGGGTTCCCACCTCCCGCACCGCACCACATGTTGCGCAGTTCACCACAATAGCCGACAGACAACCTGAACACGGGTAGCGGGTGGGACACCCCAAACCTCCTCGCCCCGGGCAAGCTGCAAGATAGGATCCGTTCGCTGCTCCAGCGCGCTCATCTTGCCATCTACCCTTGTGGTACCCTGCCAATACACATACATGCATACATACATGACACACATGCAGTGCTCTTCCGCTTTTGGTGCTCCTGCTGCCAATCGCCATGAGCTGCTGTGGAGAAGGCTTCACGCGACGGTGTTTAAGACGGAGAAGGAGAAGACGAGGGCGTTCCGTGCGTGTGTGCGCAGTGCTGGTCATTCAGCCCTAGACAGACAGACAAACAAACAGACGTACTGCGATGGAGAACATCCCACCATCCCACGAGACGTCGCCCTGCGAGCTCCCATCCAATGCAAATCGAGTCATCCTACCAGCATCCTTCCCTCCCTGCTTCCTTGCTCGCTTGTTGGACGACCACCCGCTGCTATGTGGTGGTACGGGTACTGCTACTCTTGATGTTGCTGCTGCTGGCCGATGCAGCCGACGGCTTCTGCAACAAACTGATACAACAGATCCGCACCTCTGCTGCTCCCTCCTGCCCGGGGTTAGGTCCAGAGATACGTTCCTGTAGGCTTTGTTCCCTACTAGCGCTACTGGTACTTAGCCGCTGCTGCTGTCCTTCAGTTGTGCATACTACCGCGGGGTGCCGAGTGGGATGGACGCAGACGACGACAGGACGCATCCCTGCACCACGGCGCGTCCAAGTTACGGCGAATAACTGCACCGCCGCTGCTATGGCTATGGCTATCGCCGCCTCCGTAATTCTCGCACTGTTGCTGGGGTGGCGGTGGCGGCCGCGCGGCTGCACGGCTGCAACACGTAGACGCGCGTCTAGCACGGCGGCAAGGTGGATGCATGCATCCTCTTAGCTGACCACTGTGTGCCGACCAGTGCCCGGTGCCCTTGGTTAAGGAAGCAAGGTGGGAAACACCACGCAGGGCAGCAAGCAAGCACGCAAGTGCGCAGTGCGGTCGGCCCGCTGCTCAGCGGAGGCAGCAGTTGCGGCAGCAGAGCAATGTTGGCTGTGTGCCGGGGCAGATGCCGCCACCGCCCAATCTCCCCTTCTCCCCAGCTAGGGGTCTCACATGCCCATCAGGAAGGCGTTCGCGTACGCCATGGGCTTCACGTCCGGGTGGGGTACCGCGGAGAAGGTCGTGAAGTGAGGTACCTGGGCGGTGCAGGCGGGGGCGGGGGGAAAGACGAACCACACACGATTGAAGCTGCTGCCAGGGCAAGAGAGTAACAAACGTAGGACTGACCGAACGGGGGGGGGGACAGAGGGGAAAAGACGAACCGCGAGTGGGTGAAGCTGATGCCAAGGAAGGACTGCTGCGGCAGATGTAAGACAGGGGGGATGGTGACGATGGTGGTGACAAAAGGATGCGAATACAATGGGAGGATAACGAGGGGAAGAATGGAGGCCGGGGTAGAGGCGCCACGCGCCACGCGCCAACAGTAAGTGGTGAAGCTTAACCACTCTGTAACAACATGAGTAAGTGCCAGGAAGCGGGCGGGTAACACGCCACACAAACACCTAGACATGCGAACCCACTCGGAAGCGAGAGGTCCAAATCGGGCAATGCACATCAGCAAGCAGCAACACCTCAAGGTCCCCTCTCGCAAAGCGGCCCGGGCAGGAATAGACGAATGGACGCGTTGAATAATTGGAGAATGGTGGAACGCACGGACGAACAAACGCAGCGCAAGGCAGGCTGAGTGTGGTGGGGGAGCACAGAGCCCTTATGCAGGACTGTCGAGATGCCGTGCTGAAGAGTGCTGAGCCCAGGGCGCGGAGGGAGGGGGGCCCTGCGCAGCCCGGAGGACCACTACACGCGGGAGGAGGGTACGTAACGTGGAGGCTATTTCACATAGCGCCGCCAACGCGTACGTGCGGAGGCCACTGGCCACTTGCCAACGACACGGTTTGAGAAAGTCTAGCAATACAAGGCGTACACCCGAACACCCGAACACACGAATTTAGGCCTGCGCGCACTCACCATATCGTTTCCGTTGAACCGCACGAACGCGCCCTTGTTGCCCATTTGGTCGCAGTAGTTGGGAGCGGAGAAAACCGTGATGAGCCGGCCGTCGTGCTCCACCTGCCACGATGAGCGAGGAGGGGAAATGTAAGCAAGCAAAGCCAAGGAGGAGGGTAAGGGGACCCGTAACAGCAAGGGCGGTAGCTGCGGGACATCGGCACCACCAAGCACCCATCCCTTCCTCCTTCCTCCCTCACACTGTCTTCCTCTCCCCACGCGCCTTTGGTGGGCCCCCTTGACTGGTGGGCTCCTCCTTCCTCCTTCCCCTCCCCCACCTCGCTCAACCTCACCTCATATCCCTCCTCCTTGACTTCATGAGACCTCACCAACAGGTCCAACCCGTTGGCATCCAGAAAGGACCGGGTTACATCGGCGCCGAACGACAGCCCCACACCGCGCTTGGAGGGCGTCCGCCCAGGCAGTGGCGAGGGGTCAGCCCACAGCGCATCACACATGACGCCGTCCTCGGGAGGCTCCCTGTGTGGGGGGAAAGAGAGGGAGAAGGGTACACCACGAAGCACAGACGTTTGACAGCACAGCGTTTGACGAGAAGAAGAAACCATTGACGGACACTCCGAGATAGAACCAATGGTGTAGGAGAAGAAGATAGATACAGACCCGTAGTGTCTTGGTACCCGTAGTGGCAAGATACAGACCCGTAGTCATCGCGGCAATGTAGGGAGTAGGCAGATAGGTTCCGAAACGAAAAAGCAGCTGCCGAGTACAGTTAAGAGAAAACATCGAAAAGGCTACCTAGCCGCCAGATGAATAAAATAGTGGTAAAAGAAAGCAGAAATGCAAACGAAGCCGTAGAGAGGTGAAAAGCGGAGCTTAAGACGGAAGTAATATCGGAAGGTGTGTGCCGACTTGTCATCGAAAGTAGTGAACGAAATTCGCTAATTTGTACTGCTGATATATACGCTGTTAGCTAACATGCAAGTGCCATACAAGGGCTGCATGAAAAGCGAGTGATGGCAAGTGGTCGTAAAAAACATTTCAAGGTGGTGATGCAGCCTTTAGCTCCATCCTCGCCATCCTCCCGCCAGCCAAAAGCTCAGCCAGCAAGCGCAGAGTCCCCCTTCTGTCCGCCCACCCACCCACCCACCCGCCCCCCCAGCCCGACCCACCTCAAATAATGAGCCTCCTGAAACCAATTCACCTCGTCCCCAGGTACGGCACCCGACCCCACACCACTCTACCCTAACCCACCCCTCAGGCCCCCCCCCGTTCTCCACCCACCCACCCACCCCTCCACCTCACCCACCCACCTGAACCTGTTGGTTCTGCGGATGTCGTCCAGGGTGACCCCGTCCTGGCTGAACAGCCCCCCGTGCAGCACCAGCACCCGGCCGTTGAGGCAGTAGGCCAGGGGCAGGGCGCAGAACAGCTCACGGAAGCAGTCCACCATGGTGCCGTTGTACTTGGCCTTCACCTGGAACCAACCAGGAAGCAGGGACACCGGAAACAGCAGCAGGGATAAGGGCCAGGGTCTCAGGGGTAGGGGTAGGAGTAGGAGTAGGGGTAGGGGTAGGGGTAGGGGTAGGGGTAGGGATAAGGGCGAGGGGTAGGGGTAGGGGTAGGGATAAGGGCCAGGGGTAGGGGTAGGGGTAGGGGTAGGGGTAGGGGTAGGGGTAGGGGTAGGGGTAGGGGTAGGGGTAGGGGTAGGAGTACGGGGTAGGGGTAGGGGTAGGAGTACGGGGGTAAGGGCAGAAGGAGGGTCAGGAGCGCAACAGTAACATGTACGCGGTGCAAGAGGTATAGGGATGTATTACATGGAAGAAACAAAGGGAGGGAGGGAGGGAGGGAGTTCGGATGCGTGGTGTGGGATAGGGGTATAGATGCAGAGGCATTGTGCTGGTCAGGAACCATGCCAGACGTGCGGGGCCCGCGCCCTGTGGTGTTCCGCCGCGGTGAGGTGAGGTGAGCTCTCCCCGGGTGAGACAAACCACCGACGATTGAAGCAGATATCCAGCTGAGAGATAGACGGATATAGAGTCCAGGAGAAGACGAATACTGCAGGACAGGACTAGTTGCTGACTAATGATGTCTTGAATAATGGTCACGGCCCGGCGACGTGGCCGTAGCTCTAGGTTGCGAAGCGGGTTTTACTAGCTGCCGCCAAGGTGAGGTGGGTTGTGGATTTCGAGTTACTTTTACATCAGTCATCTGGAAACGACCTATGCGGTTTCCGAACCCCGAACGACATACACTCCTCCCCTTCCCCCTACCCCCACCCTCTTCACGACAGGCAGGTATACGCACACACACAATAAAAACACAAAAACACAAAACGCACACACAAAACACACAAAACACACACACACACACAGACACACACACATACCACGAAAACACGGCGGGCGACCGCGCACCTCTCTCCGTCAGACACCCCCACACGCACCTCTCCGTCAAAGCCGTACACCTTGTTCATGGACTTGGACTCGTGATTGCCCCTAGTAAGGTGCATGTGCTCCGGGTAAAGCAGCTTGAAGGCCAGCAGGGCAAAGATCACCTCACAACTGAAGCTGCCCCGATCAACAAAGTCACCTTCGGCAGCATGAAGGGAGTACGGGGTATGAACGAAAAACAACGCTCAACGTCACAGAGTTCTTCGTCTTTGCTCTCAAAAGGTTTCATCGAAACACTCATCGAAAAACTGTCTCAACGACCGTTTGCGGTTTTCTGGCGTTCTGTGGCGTGGGGCGTGGGGCGGTTTTACGCCATTTGGCACACGGCAGATGGGTTGGTGGAGTGGGTGGGTCCCTAAACCCTAAGTGGGTCGCACACGGGGCTATGTACCCCGTGTATCCCAAGAGGAAACACACCCCGTGTGTAACTGGTAGTACCGAGCTGTGTACCGGCAGAGCATGTTGCGCAGCAGCCCACATGCAAGCCCCCCCTGCACATTACACGTGCCCATAACCCACCGCCCCGCCCACCTACCCACCGCCCCACACACCCACCTATTTCCCCTTGCCCTCCACCTCCCCCCACACACACCACACGCCACACACACATACAAGCGAATGCAAAACCACTTTAACTACAGACGCAAGCCCCCCCCACCATCCACCCACTCCCACCATTGAACAAGTACGGGTTGTCCGCCGAGGGCAGTCCGTTCAGCTTCCAGATGTTGAGCAGGTCGTAGAACTGGCCGTGTATGTCCCCACACACCGTGAAGTGCTTGTCCTCGGGTATGGTCACATCCACCAGGGAGGCCAGCGACCGGAACAGCGAGTGGGCCTTGGATGAGGGATGAGGGATGAGGGGAGCAAGAACGGAAACAGCACGGGACGGGACGGGACAGCAAAAGACAGGAAAAGACAGGAACAGTAAATAGAGGTGGCGAGGGCCGTAAAAGGTGCCTCGACTGTGGTAAGGTGCCGCGTCATGTGCGAGTCTAGAGGGGGGATGGGGGATGAGTAAGGGGGAGTTTAGGGACTCTGCCAAACGACTACTGCCTCCCTCCACATGCGCGCTTATGGTGGTACGTGAATGTGGTGGCACACGAATAACTTCATACCGAAGCGAGCTCCCTAGTCCAGCGACGTGTCATTAAAATTCTCCAATAAGTAGCTAGTAGACTACGTGCCTGTGTGTCTAAGTGGTCCCCAGGGTACGCGGGGCTGGTGGCTCCCCCACCCCCCCACGCGGGGAAGTTCACGGTAGGGAGGAGGGTACGGCCCCTAAGGCCGTGTCCGCAGGCCGCCCGGACACCCAAGTGCGGGGCGGCGGGCGCCAGGAAGAGCTCCCCGTGTGCTACGATGGTAGCTCCCTAGTCCAGCGACTAGCCTCACCCTACTAGCCTCACCCTACTAGCCTCACCCTACTAGCCTCACCCTACTAGCCTCACCCTACATCCCGCCATGCGGCCTCACTCCATGCACAGCGCACGACCCCGGGGCCCCAACCCAGGAGTCCAGAGACACACAGCGCCCAACAAAGCCGCGTGCGTATGTGCCGTCTTTGCGAGAGCTCGCTCATCTAATAACCCTCCGGGCCTCACCCCCCCCCGCGGGCACACTCGCCCCGAAACCACTTCTCCCCCCCCGCCCCTTTCCCCACCCACCCCACCCACCCAGTCTTGCACCCTGCACCCCACCTGGCGAACAATCTCAAACGCAAACCGCTTGTGGATGGTCCGCTGCTGCCGGAACTCCTCCAACATAGCCGTCACAAAATCCTCCGTGATGACGTAGCCGTCAGTGGCGTTGCCTGATCAGCATACACACACAGCAAACCCAGCATGTGAGAAATACATGACCGTCTAACCTAACCCAGCCCGAGCGAGCCCCACAGCGCCCGCGATGTGCACGTCCGCGCTATCCCCCCTCCCTCGAACAAATCCCCCCCGCTGCCCTCAACGACTTTCCAGGTAGTATAATAAATGCCAAAAAAACTGTTACTGCCATACGCGCAGACAACAAAACATGGGGGGGTTCCCGGGCGCCACACCACATACCCATACAAACACGGAAAACACGCACCCCACTTTGAACACGCGCCCAGGGTAAGACAGCAGAGCACCGCCGTATCCGTCACCCCGCGGGGGGGAACACCCGCCGCAACAGGGGGGAGGGAGTTGCCCTGCTTGGTCGACTCACCCTGCATCCGCGGCCCCGTGTACGACTCATCGATGTTGTCGTATATGGATAGATCCAGGGTGGCCAGGATGGAAATTGCCTCCGAGTCCTGCAACAGCCGGGAGAAGACTTGCGTGTGTCCCTGATCCGGAAAATAAAAACGTCCCCTGTTTCAACAGGTTGCCTTGTTAATGATTCGTAGATTTATGATGATTCTCCATGATCGGAAGCAAACGTTTATGGGCATGTAACGGTTGTAACGGTCATAGCGGTTGGGACTTACCCAAAATTTGGGCATATAGAGTGTGTGAGTGACGAGAGAGAGAGAGAGAGAGAGCGGGGGGGGGATGAGCAGGTGTGGTGGACGACAGTGATGAGTGGTAAAAAACTCCAAACCTCCCCAACGCCGTCTTGCCGGACCCTCATGCATCCGCATACTCACCGTGTTCCAAGCCCTAAGGCCCTCTCCTGCCTTCCGTCATCGGGATTCCACATTTCCCTAATTAGGTAATTAGCATCACCATCACCGCCTTCCCAAGACATGAGGCTGCCCACCCCCACCCTTGTACATTGGTCATCTCCCCCCCCAACACCCAAACAACGCGGGACACCCACCACACTAGCAGTCCCATTGGAATCCAACACCCGCCCATGAACCCTACACCTCACCCCCACTGAACTGAACCAACCAGACTGAAGGCAACCACCACCCTACGTTACGTTAAAACATGCCGCCCATCGACACAACAAACACACGTGCCCAACAGAACAAAACGCGTGCCTGCTGAGAGACATTTGCCTCACCGTCTATCCCCCTCTTACACCAACCCCAGCCCTCCACATCCTCAAAACCACATCCTAACCGTCCCCCATCTACTCACCGGCACAGACAGCGCCTCCTCAAACCTTAGCCGCTTCACCTCCTTCTCGCACTCAGCCAACTTTTTGCGAAGGTCCGGATCTCGAGGCGCCACTTTGGCGGCCTACAGGCGGGTCGGGTCGGGCGGCGAGGAGAGGGAAGGAGGCACCACGAACGAGTGAAGCTGCTGCCAGGGCAAGAGTGTACCAGACGTATAGAACTGACCGAAAGGCGTCCGTGAAGACGGCGACCTCGGGGAGAGGGAGGGGGTTAGTGTAAAAAGCGGGGGCGCGAATACGCATGGTGTAAAGAACATACACAAGTGTCTCGACTGCGCGGAGGGCTTGACAAGCCATATATAATATAATAACAATGCCAGACGCAAAGGATCAAGTACAGAAGTCCACAGCCGCAAACTGCTGGAGTCCCAAGCAATGCGCACAGGGAGTGGAGGGACAAAGGGTCGGTAAACACATCACCGCCAGGGAAGGAACTAGGGAAATGGGTTGTGTTGGCATTAGTGAGAATACTACTGTAGGGGAACCCGTTAGCGAAGAGTGGTGTGGGGATGGCTGACGAGGAGGTTGAAAGTGGCGGTGCAGGGCGTGTCTCATTCGTATAGCTCGAGTCCCTCCCCGGGCCTCGATACACACGGGGGCGCCCCCCCCCCCACACACACATATACGACGGGTCTCCCTAACCGGGTTACCCTCTCCCTACAGAGGACAGAAAGCGACCAGACCCAGATGCGGCAGCCCCTACAGCGCCTGTTGCCCGCTGTCAGACTTGCAACCCCTGACTCCACCGACTGAGAGTGGACGCACCGCCCTGGGCGTGCGTGGGGCTAACTGGGAATGGAACCACCCCCGCCCGCCGCCTCGAGATAGGGCCCTGTGCTGCCTACAGCCCTCCCCCTCCCCCCCATTCCCTCCCTCCCTGCCTCTTTCTCTCTCGGGGTCTGACAACCGCCCTTGCAATCAGAAACGGTACAGTGAATTGTCGCTGCGTAGCTATATGGCAGGTAGCTTAGCAGACAATAGCCGACGGCCCAACGGCCCAAAACCCCGCGTTAACAGCACCTGTCACCGGCATCTTAAAATGGACCTCAGATTGTGGCGGCCCCCGTCTGAAAGAAATAAAAGGAAGCGCATTGCTCTGTGACAGACACGTCGGCTGGGATCCTGGTACCCAGCGGGCAGGAGACCGCAATCCACTACCTACTTCAACCTGACTTTTAACTATCAGTCCTCGGCCTGACCCTGCATCCTGAACCGTCAATCATGTCTACGCCTCCCCATGAGACACATACACACCGTCCACAGATCAACAAACCCAACTTAACAAAACGCACCGTCCGCAAGTCCTTCAGAGCCAGCTTGTATTTGCCCAGCGCAAAATGGGCATCTCCGCGGCGATAGTAGCCCTGAGGCAGAAGAAGCGGGCAGTGCAGGGAGTGCGGTGAGCGCAACATAGCGCTGAGGTAGATGGTCGTTCTTCTTTCCCATTCACTGGAGAGCGCCTTTCAGAAATGTTGGTTGCGGGAAAAAGGTGAGGGGCTGTGTGGGGAGAGGTAAGGGAGGAGGTACATGTAAATGCATGAAAGGACGGACGGAGGGGTAATGAGTGAAAGGGCCGGTCAACGTGCGCAACGCGAGGTGGAGACCCCCCTGCCTTGGGCCACAGCAGTCTAGAAGCCAGGACCTACGTGTGCACAGGCAGTCGGTCCCTTGGTGCTCTGCCATCCGCAGATGCCCGTACCACATACCCCTGGAAGGATTTCCCACAAGCGAATACCTTTCCAGCACATGCCTAATAAACTATCGGCCAGTACGTTGGTGTTATCATTTAACAAAGCGCGACAGCAGGAAGGATGTTGCTCACATTTCGCGCCCGATACCCACCTTGATATACTTGGGATCTATCTCCGTGGCCTTCTCGGCGTCCGCAACAGCGGCTCCATAGTTTTCGAGCTTAATATGAGCGGCGGCGCGGTTCGCCCAGTAGATGGCATTGTTCGGGTTTAGCCCAATGGCGCGTGTGTAGCCCTCGATTGCAGCCGAAAAGTGCTTGGCTGCAGTTGACGCAAACAAGCTTACCTCAAGAAATCATAACCCTTTGCGCCGGCATTCAAGTCACGCCGAAACCTTTTACACACCTTTAAAATTCTTGTTCGCTTCGTCCTTTGCCACCTCGGCCTCCGCTACCACAGCAGGATCTAAAGGCGGAGGTGGCGGGGGTGCCTCTGGCACTTCAATCACCTCGTTGTCGTCTTCCATGTTTCTAAAGATCGTTCCCACCGTCCGACAAGAGGACTGCAAAGCTGTATAGTTTCCTGAATTCCTAATATTTACAGAAAGAGTATGCATCGAGAGTATACATCTGTACTGTTCCTTGTATGCATCGAGTGAACGGCTTACGTACTTTGCCGCGGACCGGGACACAACTGGGCACACAGAGCACTCGTCGCACGCCCCACGTTAAACTCTGTGTAAAGGTGAATACAAGACCCAACTATGTACAGAACACTTGTGTCTTCTGTCCTTAAGAAACACGAGCACGGCAGGCAGCACGGCCGTGGCCCTTGGTTCACTTAAAATTGAAGTCGGCTGGGCTTGCGTATTTCCATCATGATATACTTGGTATTATCCTTTAGCATATCGGCCATTCTGCGCGTAATCTGTATGCGTACAGCTGTCGCTACGCGTCCATTCCGAAAGTAGGAAGTTCGCCCACCTTCATGGGCCTGCATTTACAATAGTTCAAACCTGAAGCGACTAGCCCTTTGGCGTCATCCCAAAGCTACGCCGCAGTTCACATGGCTTAGACATTTCTGCGCGACGCCCGGCCTTTCTGGACACTTCCACGACACCCAAGTAACACGGTCCATGCAACGTTGCTGCCCTAACGCCGGCAGATTTTTACCACCAACGCCTTAACCCTGCTGTCGCCAACTCCGTTTCCCGGCTTGCCCTCTGCGCCGTCTGTCGTGCAAGTGTTGAGAGGGTCTTGCGGTCAACGCTTCACCGCGCTTCCCTCCCTCCCGAGCCCCATCCGTGGCCCCAGCAACCTCCTCTTTTAACCCCGCGCGAAGAATCCAGCATCAAAGACGTATACGCCCACCCCAGTTATGCACCTATCTCTTCGGTACTCAACACCATGGAAAGTTCATCTCGAACTCCCCTTTCGCTCCCATCGCGATGGGTTGGTTTCAGGCAGGGACGTGAGTGTGAGTTCTGATTGCCTGTGTGCCCCGCAACTCCCGGCTTCAACGCATCACTGTGCTTTTTCGTAAACGTCAGCAGCGATTGTCCTCAGAGCTGCATTAAATTAAATTGATCTGCTCCTGCTCAATATGCCGCAGTAATACCGTTAGGCTGGCCCGGCACTTGTAATGGCGAGATGTAAGTTGGTCAGTCGCTAGGTCACATCTTCCACAGCATGAAACTCGGAGGGAGGAAAGACGTTGTTTCGCGATGATGGTGGAAGGAGATCTGTTGCCATCATCATCATCATCGTACATGTACAATACGATGATGGCATATCGTCACACATGCAAAACCTAGGCGACAAGCTCTCCTGTTTTGCTGAGCAAGCTGCCGCTCTACACACCAGGTTCAGGCCAAACAAAATCCAGCCTCACCTCCTATCGGGTTACAACTCCCTTCGGATGCCATTACGTCTCTAGAAGGTGGTACCTCTGCTCCAAAAAAGGATACAGCCCTGCACCCCCCTCGACCCGTGTGGAACCCAGCACATTCCAACCACCCGTCCTACCGTCCATCGGTATCTGTCAATCTGTCCGTCTGTCTGTCCATCTGTCTGTAGCCGTGTTTCCCAACTACCTGTGTTTTATGCCGACCCCCAGCCAGCCTAAGTTGGCAGGTATGCGGCTCGACATTTAATGTATACGACCCTTGCCTACGGAACCAGACTCAAAACTCAGAACCCCCCCCATGCCCCCTAACTCCTCCCCCCCTCCTCTTCTCCCCCCACACACAAAAACAAACGTTCCGCTTCAATTCGCTTCTCAGTCCGTCTACATGCCGCTGCGGCTTGCCCCAAGTGCGGAGGTGCGACAATGCCGTACAAAATCGTCCGATAGCATTGCCGCCGCCGCCGCGGTGGGCTGCCACGCCAGCACACGACCCACCATCGCGCACATGGGCGCCAAGTCGCGCGGCACCCTGCCGCCGTTAGCACCGCCGCCGCCGCCGCCACCAATTACAGGCTTTTGCTGGTCGAGGCTAACTTCGCTGCCTGCCGTACTCGTCGTAGCAGGATCTGCTTCATGACCTCCAACGCCTCCATCGCCGGTGCCGCCACCGCTGCCTGCGTCCCCCCCGACGTTGTCTTTGCCGTGTGCGATGCCAGCGGCGCCGGCGGTACAGGTGCTACCACTGTCAGCGGCGCCGACGGCGCCCTTCACATGGGTTCCGTACAGGTGCTCGGCCCGTTGCAATAACGGCGGCGATACCGTCACGCCCGCAGCCGCCAGCGACACCAGCGCTTGTATTACTTGCCGCGGCGTCATGACTGGCGCCGCAGCGTCGACGAGCTGTACGGCAACCTTGAGCGCCGTCGGCATGCGATTGACGTGGCCTACCGCCACAGGCACCGTTACCCCCGCGGCTGCGGACTCCATGCCGTACTCACCTCCTGCCGCTGCGGTGGCCGCCGGGGCAGCGGCGGTGACACCGCCGCCAGCGTGGCGTTCGGGCCGTACTCGTAGGTGGGACAAGCCGTACAGTACGGCTAACAGCGACTGCGGGTGTCGGAGGCCAAGGCATGGCGTTGTGGCAGCGTGTTGTTAGTTATTGCTGCTATTGTTGTTGCGGGCGTAGGAACTGGCGCTTGGAAGTCTAGAGAGCGGCAATTTAATCGGTTATGCACCTCGGCCGGTAGGTAGCCTGACTCTCACAGAAAGCTGGTCAACTCCTTAACCACCAACGGTTAACTATTTTTTATAGTGCGGCCTTGAAGTGCCCGTTACAACGCGTGTACTCGCTCCATGTTTTCCGCACATACATACACACATACATACACACATACGTACACTCATACATACACACATACATACACGCAAGCTTACTGAAATACATATCTACGCGCTAGGGGACAGACATACACACAAACAATGGCAATGTTCCCCTCCGACAGCACGCACTTGCACACGCTAGACATACACAGATAAACGCACAGACAAACGCACAGATAAACACACAGACAAACACACAGACAAACGCACACGCGCTCATGCCCACGTCCTCCAGGCAGGGGGCCCCCTCTATAACCCTTCATCTCAGCCAGACCGCCTAGGAAAGGAAAGGTTCTGTGGAAGCACACGTACACGGTGACCAACCCACAACCCGCAACACGGCTCCCTAGCCACCGGGTAAACAGCCACCGGGTAATAGCACTCCGACGGCTTACCGGAATTGTGATGTTAGGGCTCTGCAGGAGAACAAGCACCTCGGCCTCATCAATCAAATTCGTACAGCGCTCGGCCCGGGGGGGATCCGGCTGCAGCTGCTGCTCTAGATGCGGCTGCAGCTGCTGCCGCTGCTGCTGCGGTGGCTGTCGAGCTCCGTCGTCAGCGGCTGCAACCACTGACGACGTTCGTGATCCTCCGGCGGCGGCCCCAGCAGCAGCCGACAGGTGGTGGTGTGTCGCGGCTCCTCCCGCCGCCGCCGCCGCCGCCGCCGCTGCTACAGCCGCTGGCGCCGGTGCTGCTGCTGCTGCTATCCCCGGCTGTAGCGGCAGGGACGTGACGACGTTGATGCCCAGTGCGTTCAGGTGGCGAGCCGTCTGCAGCCGGCACACATACAGACATACAGATCGACATACACACAGACACACAAACAGACACATATACACTCATGCGACGTCAGTAATGGCAGGGAGGGGTAAGGGGACGGCGCGGGTCGAATAGCTACTGACCAGGTTGAGGTCAGTTCGGGACAGTTCGGGATGCTGTATGTGTCCCCATCCCACCCCATCCCTCGCCCCAGAAAACCCTGATTAATTACATACGTCCTTTTCTTCCCATTCTTCCCCTCCTCCCCTCTCCCCCATTCTCCCCCATTCTTCCCCTCTCCCCCATTCTTCCCCCCTCCCCTTCCTCGGGGGACTCCTATGATCCTTCCGACCTTTCCATTCGCCTGCCGACACTCCCCACCCTGGACCGCACACGACATACATGCATGCATACAGTACATGCACACATACATACATATATACATACGAGAGCACTCACCATCAGCCGGTGCAACATGTCCCACCCGGACTGAAGACGTTTGACCTGCGGTGATCGTACGGTCAACGTATGTGTGTGGGGGGGTTGGGGTGGGATGGGGGGTTGTTGGGGTGTGTATGGGGGGTTGTTGGGTACGGTCAACGTAAGTGTGTATGGGGGGCCCGGGGTTTGGGTGGAATCCCATGCAAGACACAAGAATTTGGAGTTTGGGGAATCACACACACCTGCGGTGGTGGCAAAGTCCAGTGCCGGTGTCTAAAGTGTGGGTTTTGGGGGGTTGGGGGGACGACATGTGAATGAAGGACAATAGGGGACGGACATCGCCCGGTGGGTCCCGGAGGGGATGTCATTGTCAAGAGTGTTTGTTCCCTTCTTCCCTTCTTCGAAAAAGGTGCTCACTCCGCTTGGAACAGGACAATAGGGTTGATCGCACAATCCGTTGATAACCCCCCGCCCTCCGGTTCCAACATGTTGAGGGGATGTCATTGTGACAGGCCCACCACCCCCTGATGCACCACAACCAACAATCCATGTCCTCCTCTCCTTGAGCTGTGGGCCCACCGAGCCACCGACTACCGACCGTCGACAGGAAAGAGAAAGGAGAAATCCATCTTTATCATCCACCACCACTATCACCACCACCACTACAGTCGTCGTCGTCATCATCACCACCATCATCATCATCATGACCCTAATGCCGTGTCGCCAACTTATAACTAACTAATTTTAACTAACTTTAGGACGAAAAAAATATCGCCCGAAAAATATCGCCATTTCTTCTCATCCGCATTCTCGTTTTCGTCGTCACATGTCCTGTGTGAGAGCGTCATTACCTCTTGCAGTAGCAGTTGGACGAGCTCCGAGCCGGGGCCCAGACCTGCTGCCTCGCAAGCCTGTCAAGTCGCGGGCATGCGATTGATTGTGATTGTGTGCTCGGAATGTGGTCAGAGGGCCAGAGGGAGGCCGGGGGGGTCGGTGCCCTGGGGTTAAGCTGCTCTGGGTAAGAGGTACACACCCCTACCCCCCCCCCCACACACACATACACACACACACACATACCACCTTCAGGAGAGGAGGGTAGAGGACTACACGGCCTAGGGAGCCGAGCTCCGCGGTTGTGTGGGTGGGTGGGTGGGTGGGTGGGCGACATCCGTCAGCAAACACCAGCTCGCCATGATTATGTGTGTGTTGGGTGTGTGTGTGGGTGTGTGGGTGTGTGTGGGTGTGTGTGGTTTCATGCAGGCGGCCCAAATTGCTGTCAGTTCTGTCGGTGGTGTTAGGGGTGGTGTGATGTGGATGGTGGTGGTGGTGTGGTGTGCACGGGGGTATGTGCGAACCAGTCGTACACATACCTGCAGTGCGTACGAGATCCTAAGATCCTCCTCAGTGGGTCGGGTTGGCCGCCGCCCTTGGAGCCCCCCTTGCTGCTGCTGCTGCTGCTGGTGCTGCTGGTGCTGCTGGTGCCGCCCCAGATGCATTATTGGAGCTGCCAAACCCCCCTCTTTCCCCCCTCCCGCTCCGCCCCCTGCTCCCACTCCCCTCGCTGCCCCCTCCTTTCCCCCCTCCCCCACTGCTAGCTCGGACACCGGCACGTGGCTGGTGGTGGTGGCTTGTATTTCTGTTTGTATTTCTGTTTGCCTTGGTGACAGCGTGTCGTGCTGCTGCTTGCTTCGGATACTGCTACTGCTACTGCTACTGCTGCTGTTGTTGCTGTTGCCACCATTCGGTGACGTTGCGGCGGTTGACACCATGGACAGTCTCAGCAGGTCGGTTAGGCGAGTGGCCAGGGGCCCAACGACCTGAAAAGTGGTGGTTGAGGTGGTTGAAATGGCGCATTTGTGGATTAAGGCAGCGAGGGGGCGAGGGGGGATACGGCAGGGAGGGATACTGCGATACACGTGATGGGATGTGCGAGGGGGGGGGGGAGGCGAGTGTGGGGAACTAGTGGACCAGGAGTAGGACACAACACGACGGGAAGAAACGCCAACATCATTATCTTCTTCTTCATCGTCATTATCATCATCAAAAGCAGCAGCAAAAGCAGCAGCAAAAGCAGGATCGGCAGTGGTAGTATCAGCATTAGTGCAATGGTAGAAGCATGACAGGAAAAACAGTTTTCTACCCCCCTCACTAACCGCCAACCACCAACCGCCAACTACCCACAGCGGGTTCCGCCCCGATTTGCCCAGCTGCCCGCAGCAGTACGGTGCAAGCAAAGATGCTGTTCGTCCGTGCGAGGCTGTACGGCAAGGATGACTGGTGTACGAGCTGCTCCATGAAGAGCGGCTCCGGGTTGCCCGCCTGCGACCACGATACGACATACACACACATACACACGTGGGGCACGACGGGTGGGGAAGCGGGGAAGCGGGGGGGAGGGCACGGCGGGAACAAAGAGGACGGGGAGGGCGGCTGGGTGCCTTCGGTACGATGGGTAGCCCCTAGCACCAATCGTAACTAGACACAACAGATAACGGAATGTAACACGCACACACACACACACACACACACACAAACACCTGGCGTGTTTTCCCCGCCTTTCCGGTGGTCCTCACCCTCCCGCTTGCCCGCACACTTAGGACGGGTTCCAGCGGTGTATTCCCCCCACCTCCACCGCCCACCTGCCGTACGCCCCTAGCCAGCTCCACTCCGACCCATCCAAACACCCCAACCCCGCAATGTCACACACACACGGGGAACATACCTCCAGAAAACCAAGCACCAGCGGCGGCAGCGCTTCCCCAGCCAGCGCATTACCAAGCAGAGGCGCCGCCGCCGCCGCCAATGCTCGATGTACGGATGGTCGTACAACGTTCAGCTTTCGTAACGCCGTACACACATAAGTCAGACAGTACGCCTCCAATCGGTGCTCCCGTTCGCCAGAGCCGTCGTGGTCGACGTCGTCGTCGTCATCTCTGCGGCTGCGGCGCGCCTCCGTCGCGTTTGTCGTACTACGTAACTTGTCCGCCAGTTCGTACAGGTTTGCCTCCAAACGGCTAAGAAGTGCATTGCTGAGCCGCCGACCGGCGTCCTCCGTCACTGTTAGCAGGCGATAGCCCCTTGGCAGCGCCGCCAAGCCGTACATACAGTACGACAGCTCCTTTAAACCTAGCGCCGGCGCCGCTTCAAGCAGTTTCGCCTGCAGGTGCTCTCTCAATCTCCCAGGCACCACGCCCCTCCCTGGAGCTGCTGCGCCTCTCCCGCTTCCACGTCCGCTGCCGTCGTCGTCGTCGTCGGGGCGGTGATCTGCGGCGTCAAGATCCGCTGCCGCCGTCGCCGCGTCGTTCGGCGGCAGCGGCGACGTCGCCGTCGCCTCCCCGTTGACGAGTCTGGAGTACGCAACCACGGCCGTGGCTACCTGGGGTGTACGATGTACGACAAAGGCAAGAGCGTCGCCCGTGGGCCCCGCTCATTTCATGCCATTTTGGGCCCCTCCTCATTTTGGGCCCCCTGGCCCCCAACCCCGGAAGGGGAGGAGGGGGAAAGACGAACCACACACGCTTGAAGCTGCTGCCAGAGCAGGGAGGAGGGGGAGTTGTATACACTGCCACAAGTATTCAGTGCTTAGGGTTCTCCCTATAGCTCCAAGTCCCAGGGGGAGCTCGCCGTCCTGAAGGTGGGCACTTGTATATGGGCGAACAGGCAACATATAGACATACGGACAGACAGACAGACAGATAGACGGACGGACAAACCCATTTCTGCACCTCACGCACCTGCGATGGCCCCAGAACGTGCGCTGGTGTGGAGTCCAGTAACGCCGCCAACTGCCTCAACGACTTGGTCTTGCTGAGCTGTAACAGCATTGCGCTAGACTGAGCCTCCGCCGCCGCCTTCAGCCGCCGCCGCTGCTGCTGCTGCTGCTGCTGCCACTGCCACTGCTGCTGGTCCTGCCGTTGATGATTATCCTCCGTCGCCGTCGCCGTCGCCGCCGCCGCCGCCGCGGCTCTCCCCCTCCACTGACGGTGGCGACTTTCACCGGCTACGTAGGCCTGCGCGTCCTGTCGGGGTTTTTGAAGATCGCCGCCGCCGCCACCGCCGTCGCCGCCGCCGCGGTCGTACTCGTAGTGCCCCGTGGGCCTCCTGAAGCCTTCTGAGGCCACCGCCTCCCAGGGATTGTTTCTGCCCCCCTGCGGGGTTCGCCATGGCCTCGGCGGCCTCAGCGGCAGGGGCTGCGGCGAGTTTGGGGGAAGATCGGCCGTGTCGTGGCGGCTGCTACGGCTACCGCTACCGCCGCCAGCGATTTGCTCGCCCCAAGAATCCTGCGGTAAAGGTTGCTGTTGGCGTCGCCAGACCCGCCGGTCCCGTGCCCGATCGTCGTTCCGGGGCCTGTCGTAGTCAGAGCCGCCGCGGTCATTATTGCCGTCGTCGCGGCTAACGCCATCGACATCACGCGTACGAGGCCATGCGGCCATGTAGCGGGCGTGGTGATTGGGGAGCTGCGCGACGCGAGAGAGAATTCGGGGCAGGAAGTGTTGATGGACATGCGGATGATACCTCGGAGCGGTATTGGTTGCACGGAGGCATGGAGGTGATGATGGAGTAATTTGGGGAGTGAAGCTTGCAGGGTAAGGATGTGGCCATAAGGTCCGATAATTAGGGCAGGTTCCGCTTCCGTCGATCAACCGTCTTCCTTGGCGGAGCTGCAGAATGGCCGTGTCCAAGGTCCAATTTGACGCGATGCTGCAGTTCTTCGCTGAATCCGATGCTTGTAGACATCCTCCCTTTGGCAAATTCCGATGCGTTGAAAGTCTCCAAACGCCAAGTAAGGTTGCCCCTCCAGAGTGATGAAGCACGAGTTCGGATGTCTTAATTATGCTTCCACAATAACAAATTCGTCTATGCATTTCAGAAGTGCTGGTTCATCACTTCGCTTGCCCTTGCTGTTAGGCAGAAACGTATTTCAGGCCGACAGCCCGTAAGAGCAGGCTTGATTGGGATTTAAGGACGAATGCTAAGCCATGGCCGTTAGCCAATTGTATACATAATTACTTAGCCATTTAGATACCATGTACTCTCTCTTTACAGTGTGGCGTGCTCCGAAATCAAACGCGGTCAGGTACAAGTTTGCGTAATGTTTACGAGTTTATTTGTTGTAGTGTAATACGGACCACTCTAGAGCTCGCTCGGCGTACGTGTTGTGTTCTAGTATTGCTCAAGTCGCACTTCCGAGTCGACCACACCGCGGACCCTTTCGTAGACTTCGCCCTGGATGATAGGACTACACAAGCTCTTGAATTGAAACGAGTTATGGATATGAGGAGCAAATGCAATCAAACGGCCGTCACACGATGTCGCCATCGTGCTAGGGCACATACACTAAAGGCAAGGAACCAGTGCATTATCAGCATTTTAAAATAATTCTAATGACTCGTTGATATTTGAATTCGCTCATCCGCAATGCTTGATCGATTGTTGAAACTGGGCTGCAGGCCAACTACGCAAGCAAGCTCGATACCTTCGCTACAGTTTTACTATTTTCATATTGCTTCAGAAGCTATGCATGGTCTGCATCAAAGCTGGCGGACTACTGTCCCCCGGGTAGGTCGGGAGAAAGCCGTCCTTTGCAACCGTCCGCGATCTATATAATCTGATCTTGTTGTTAAAGCATTACAAAGTTCAACTCCGCAGGTGGGGGTTTGGAATAGTGAGTAACGGTTGTCAATAATTTATCAGCTTGTTGACGCCCTCTGTGCAATTCGGTGGCATGGAGGGATCTCTGGTTCATTTAAAGAACACTTGATGTGCACAATCGTATCCACACCCTGAAACCCTAAATGCCACTGTTTTGCGAATCTTGGAACCGCGTCGGATTTGCAGCTTCGGTTTAACATTAACCCCATCTTTTGCCATGACGTCACGAGTACGCAGAGCCAGCAACTGGTCAACTAACCTTTAAGTCCGTTGATGGCGTGAATTCGGCATGCGTGCCGAGTCAACTTGACGGTGTGGGTCAGGCGGTGTTCCAGTGCTGGCAACAGTTCCTCATCATGGTCAACGGATGCCAGGTCAGGCGCACGACCCAACCTAATCAAGCTTCCGGTTGGATTCCCTCCACGCACATGGCAATGCGCCATTATCACCCTGCACATTACCACTCCACAGCCAACTCACTTCCGCAAGCATACAGGCGCGTCGTCAGACCGAGATTCCTTCGGCCCTCCTTCGGTCGTTCTCCCGTCCCTCGGGTACCTCGGGTCCACAAACACACTATCAGTCTCCAGTGTAATAAGACGGGGGCACATTATTCGGACATTCCTTCACCTCCACACACACACACACCTCGTTGGCGACAGTCCTCCCAAACTCGCTCACGCCTCGCCTTCTTCACCCTTGCCTCTTCACATACCCAATTCATTCCGTACCCGTACGAACTGTACGGCGTGCTGCCGTACGACTCAGGTGTCGATGCACACGACAGAGGACCAATTTGTCGGGCCAGGGCGGATGCCGTGCCGCATGTTTGCAATGTCGGGAAACTTGACGGGTACGTGTCTGGTCGGCCGACCGGGAGGTACTCGTGGGGGGGGGGCGGGAGGGTAACGGCCAGAGAGGGGTCTGAATAGCTAAGTAGGTTCTCCTTTTGCAGTGAGAGGGGAGCACGGCAGTAAGGCGGCTCGCTTACGTGTATTGTTGGGGGCGTGTTGTTGCCTATATAGGCCATTGCACCAGGTGTGCTCGTGCGTTAAAGCTTTTAGGGTATTGTTGTTGTTGTTGTTGTTGTTGTTGTTGTTGTTGTTGTTGTTGTTGTTGTTGTGAACTGTGTGGAAGCTAGCTAGTTAGCTTACTCACTTAACAGAGGTAGTGTGGCCCCCGTGACGTGTACCTGCAGGATTTGTTGATGCCAAGCCTTTATGTGAATAAATACCTTAATACCTTATTTAAAAACACCATTGGGGGCCATTGCATTCGCTTCTAACGGCGCGAAATACAGTAGTAGATTGTAACTAGTGGGGCGGTGGAAGCCCGCCCCACCCCCTAATACGTTTCAGTAGTGTGGCGACTAGTCTTCCCTCCCTCGGGGGTATGCTGAGGGCGGCACCAGGCGGCTGAACCCGGGTGGTCGTCGCGCTCAGGCACGTCGAGCCGCCTAGGGGCGCGGGGGGGTGAGGACGACAACGTCCTCCTCACTCCTCACCCGGCGCACCGCCGTGTTAACCACTATTGACCGTTCAGGGGGGGAGAGGGGGCCGGCCGCCCCCCGGGCTTTTAACGGACGGCCCCCGGAGGTATGTACGGCACTTGTAACCCTGGCGACTGACCCAAACCCGCTCCCCCTCCCCCCTCCCCCCCCCGCCCACACCCGCCCACACTGCGTCCGCAGGTGCGGGGGTGGAGGCCCAAATGTGGGCTGACGTGGACGGCCCTGGGCTGCTGTCGTACTATTACGAAGATTCAGAGGTGAAGGTTTTTTGATGCGGCATGTGGCTTAGATGTATGTATGTATGTATGTGTTTTGGGTTGGATTTTAAAGGCTCTTGAAATTTGAAGCCCCAGGTCGGAATCCGCGATCCGCTCAATTCTAACACTTTAATCTTTTCGGCCCATAACACCCCGGCTCACGTACCCCACCATCCCGTAACATGCAAAGCACCCTCGCCACCTGTTCGGTCAAGTGTTCTCCCCTCGCAATGGACTCAGCGCGATTAGAGACAGTCAGTCATTCGTAGTACACGTTCACTCATGCAGGCCGTGGCTGCGCTTCGGTACGACAGCTTTCGTCAGCTTGTACGGGACATTTGGGCGTTTTTGCGGCACTTCACCGGCGACTTGCGCTTCGCCAACGACTCGTGTGAGTATGTACGAACCTGGTTACGACGCGGACTACCTATTTGGTCCCTCGCCTTTCCCCCTTTCCTCTCCTTGACCCCTCTTCCCTCCCTCGCGGCCGGGTAATGGGAAGGGAGGGGAGGGGAGGGGGGAAAGGCTACGGTGTTTACGGCGTGTGTAAGTCCGTCCTGTGCGGGGAGGGGGAAGGAGAAGGAGAGGGACAAGTTCCTCCGGTCCTGATCTGTACGGATCAAGGTACGGATATGTACGGAGGGGAGGGGAGAGGCCGCTTCTTAGGGTTGGACTCGCGTGGGTTGACCGCTTAGGAGACCCCCACCCGTTTCCCCCTTCCCCCCACCCGCCCAACCCCTGCCCGCCCTTCGCTGCCACGCCCCACGTCTCCGTCGCCTCTTTTGCCGACTGACACACGCGGGCCTTGTCTGTCTGTCTGTCTGTCTGCTTGCCACCTTGCTGTGCCACATCTCCACATTACCTTCTGCACCCTTATATCGCTTCGGTATGTCTGTCTGTCTGTCTGTCCTGGGCAGGGATCGATGAGGGGTTCTTCGCTGACACAAAGAAGGCGCCGTACACGGACAGCCAGCAGAGCGCAGGTCTCATTCTACACACCGGTCAAAGCCAAAGAAAAGATGCAACTCTGAATGTCGTACAGCCTGCTAGAAGATTATCAACGCTGAGGCGACTTGGGCGCGAACATCAGCAGCAGCAGCTTGGGGTTGATTTAGACGGGCGGCCGAGGTTGGTCGTTCGGGGGGAGCTAGAGGGCGATGCTGGGGCGAGTCGCCTACGGTCAGATGGGGCCGATGTGGATTTGGCGACCGTCGCCGCCGCCGCTGGTGTTGATCGCGATGCAGATGGTGACGCGGGTGCGGAGGGGTTGATGGGGGAAATGGTTGGCGAGGATGTGAACGGAGGAGCTGCGGTGGATCGCGGCCGGGCCCGGCACGGTCCCATGCGTGTGTATCGTACCTCCGAAACCAGGGTGGTGGTCAAGGCGCCCACCGGCTGCAAGTACCGCTACACGGTGAGGCCGCGGGTTGGGGTGGAAGGGGGTGGTGGAAGGGGGCCAGAGGGAGAAATTTGAATTCGAAGTTTGGTGAAACATGATCATTAGGATCTCCTCCTGTAATCAACCTCTCCCTCTCCCTCGCGTGGTGTGGTGTGGACAAGCAGGTTAGAAGTTACCTCCCCCTTCCCCCCCGGGTTCATGTTCCTTTTCATCACTCACCTTGTTGGCCCCTCCCCCCCTTTCGGTCAGTTCTACGTTTGATACACTCTTGCCCTGGCAGCAGCTTCAATCGTGTGTGGTTCGTCTTTCCCCCCTCCCCCAAACGTCAGCGCTCCCCGCCTTGCGCTGCGATATCCACCCTCCCTTTTTCCCATCCGCTTACCCGCCGTCCTCTTATCCGCTCACACACAGACACAATGATGATGATGATGATGATATTGTGACGATGATGATTTACATATACCTACGTTTTTATTGCCTACAACATGTCATGCCAGGTGAATTCGAACTCGCACGTGTTCGAGTCCCCCGCCCGACATCATGCCCATGTGGAGTGGCACACCATCCTCTTCACCGTGGCCACCCTCAGTGTTGTTCTGTCGGTGGTAGGGCTGGGTCTGTGCACCTACTTCTCTAGGAAACACGCCGAGTACGTGGCGGGGTACTGGGAATATCAGGCCGTCAAGGTGCGTGCGTGTGTGTGTGTATGTATGTGTGTATGTGCGCATGTATGCATGTATGTGCGTGTGTGTTTGTGTCTCCGTCTGTCTGTCTGTCTGTCGGTCAGTCTGTGTGCATGCTTATGAATGCAAACGCGCGTGCGTGTGCTGTGTTGTGTCGTGTCATGTTAGAACATTGTTGTGGGAGGGTGTAGGGTTTCGTTGCGGGTGAGCTGGTGGGATTCTGCCGTACCACGCCGTGCCGTACCACGCCGCGTGGGACACCCGACTGGAGGGTTATGTTGATCTGGTCTTGTCCAGTACGGGATCGCTCCTATTGGGGGAGACGGCTGCTAATAACGTACAGAACCGGGAATTGCGTGTTCCTGATTTATTAAGTAAATCTATTCCCGAAGGTGGGAGAATTCTTCCTGATAGGATTACTAACGTAAGTAAAACTTTGTTGTAACTACGAACAACCGGAAACCTGGTTGAATATAGAATTATTTGTTATAATAGCTGGTGGTATGTACTGTGTACGGCAACCGCAGGACCAGCTGGGGTCCGAGCTACCCCCGTCTACATACGTACGGCTATTCGGCAAACAGCCCGCGAAGTCAGCAGCACCAGCACCCGTAGTCCCTGCACAACAGCACGGCGGCGGCGGCGGTGGCGGCGGCGGCACTGATGGCGCCGCAGCTGCTGCTGCGGCGGCGGCGGCGGTGGCGGTGGTGGTGGCGGCTCCTTCGCCACCGCCGTAACTTTTACCTGTCGTACAGCAACACGCTGCTGCGGCGGCGGCGGCCGCCGCCACGGATGGTCTCCCGTTGTCAGAGGAGGTGTCGCCTCCTCGGGGGGTGGGTTTCGTGTGACCCCGTGGGTGGTTGTGCTGCGAGGGTTAGCGGGGGCGATGGGTAGACACGGTGTGTAGACACGGTGTCTGTACGGCAGAAGGGATACGCCCTTCCTGCCTGGTGCTGGTGCTGGTGGTGGTGGTGGTGACAGTGGGCATCGGAAGGGGAAATGTGGGGAGACCGGGGGGGGCGGGTGTTTACGGCGGGGGTTGTTCCTCGGGAGGCCCACATGGAGGCGCCGATAGGGAAGTTGTTCAATTAAAGCCGGGTTTCCGCGCACCGGATACCTCAGTCAACCACAGCCGCGTTTTTCAAGTACTCGTTTCCCATTTTGGTGCGTTCGTGTTGAGGTGGGTTGAGGATCGGCTGAGGCTCGAAAGCGCCTCCAACGAGATTTGGCGGTGTGGCGCCTGCGGGGGTGCCTGGGGGTAGCCGACAGGACGGAGCGGCTTCTCCTGCCTGCCTGCCTGCCTGCCGCGACGTGGCGGGAGGTGGGTGAGGTGCCACGCGCGGCGAATAGCCTCTCCTCGTCCCCCTTTTGGTGTCTTGGCTCGTGTCTTCCCCCCTGTTGAGATTACACTGCCTCCTCCTAACTGCCTGGTCGATTTTTGGGAGCCGGATGGGAATGATATAGTCACGACGCGGAACAGCTGTGCGCTCTCTCTCTCTCTCTCTCTCCCCTTAAGGCTATTGTGGCTGGCAATAGGATCGACCAAAGCTGGTTTGGGGTCATCGGAGTGCGAAGTAGGCGGACAGGAGCCGTTCTTAGTCCCCGGTATAGCTGTCCCCGGTAGCGCCCCTGCTACGCTGAGAGGTGTGAGAGGATGGGTGGACGGACGGGTGAAGGGTGTTGTCGGCAGCTGTTAGGGCAAGTTTGGGTTTGGGGGTAACCTAACCTACCGCTTTACCGCTACTACTACTCGACTACTCGACTCAGCTCCCGTTGATGTTGTGTTTTGGAATGTTGACATGTCATGTCATGTCATTTTGAAGCGGCCCTTTCCGGCACCCGGCATGGCGCGGGGCACTGAGGCAGGAGCCTCAGGAGTGGCCCGGCTCCCGTTCGGGCAGCTGCAGCTGCAGCTGCCAGCGGCTGGGAGGTGGTGGTGGTGTGGAGGGCTGTGCACAAAGGGTGTGACGGACGGCCCGACACAACTCCGGACATCACACACACGCACGCACGCAAAGCCTTCGCGACCAGGTCGCCTGTTCGTTGGCTTAGCAGTAGTAGCAATAATAATGATAATGGTAATAATAATACCTCCGAATGCACCCGACTTGCTCTCGCTCGGTTTCCGGTTTTTGTTGTCTTGTGGTTTCTCTGCAAGTCCGCCGAGGGTTCTTTGGATCTGTTTCGTTGGTTCGTTCGTTGGTTAATTTCGTTGCCTGCCAACCACCGCGTCCTCGTCCTCCTCACAGACAACGATGTTTGGGGCACTTGATTGATCTATTGGTTAGTTGGTCAGTTCGTTAGTTAGTTGGACCTACGTAAGGACCGACTTTAACGGAACCGTGGTGGTGCGTTTTCCCCCGGTTCAATCGCGTCACATGTCGGCCCCCGTGGGTGTACGGCGGGGTGTAATCCTGGTGCATGTGCGCTTGTATGTATGCATGTATGCATGTATGTGCGCTATAAAGCAGAGCTTCACCCCATGTTCATGTGTGTGTGCGAAGCGTCTGGTTATGTCACTGAGCCGGCGCACACAAGAACTCTGTCGGGAAGGTTTGAGAGGTTGCGGGTCCATGCCGGGACGTCACGTGCCGTGCCGTGCCGTGCCGCGTGGGTATGTGTGTTTGTGTGTTTGCATGTGTGTGTGATGGTTTGTTGCGGTGTGCGCGTTATATTTTATATCTTTTCGGTGCACGTCCTAAATAGCGTTTGTCTGTATGCATGTATTACAAGTTATGGCCGCAGCAGTGGCCGTCTCTCCTCCGGATTTGATGACCTAGCGAAGGCGGGGTGGGGTGGAAGTACAGAGGCATGCATGCGGGGTGATCGGCGGGGGCAACGGTGTAGCGGCGGTGGCGGCAGAAACCCCAACACCCCCCCACCCCCACACACCCCCACACACCTCCACACACTCCTTGCGCCCCTCTCCCGTCCGCGGGAGAGAGCTTGGGCGGTCTTTCCGTTGGGGCTGGGCAGCAGCCCCTGCCCGTTCAGATACTTGTAACCCCCCCCATGTGGCTACGTAACTAAATTGTAAAGCTCTGTACCGTCCTCAGTGGCTAACAGCCATCGCAGTCGCAGAAGCATGAGACCAAAATCCGTCGTTTGAATGTACGGACTGAGGCCTCCTCTTTGTGTGTCTATCTGTGTGTATTAATTACTTCCTGATTCAGTCTGCCCTGGAAAGATTGTCTGGACGGGGACCTTCCTTTCCCTGCAATGGGAGTTGCCAGTGGTGGCGTCCATCACTTGCTAGTTGGTTAGTTGGTTCGTTTTGTCGTTCTTGCTAGGAAGGAGGCTTGCTGGTGGTTCTGTCCCCCTGTCTCCTCGAACCCGTGATCTCGTGGCTCTTCCGAAGCTGCCAGGGACTGACACCTGACCACCTCCACTTCCATTACTCCAGTCAGTTTGTGGGTATGGTCAATGGCCCCACCCCGCGCGGGGATATAACGTCAAAGGCGCACACATGGCGGATGAGGCGTTAACACAATGCGCGGGTGGGGAGGGTTTGCATGCACACATGCACACATACATACAGGCACACGCTCGAGTAGTAGCACGTGCGGCCTGTTTGTAGGGTTGGTAATGCATATGCATATCCTGCTCCAGTCCACCTCATCAAGGAGGGGGAGGAACGTCCCCACCACGACGCATCAGCTGGGCTGGTTCTGGTTCTGGTTCTGGTCTTCAGGAGCCAGAGAAGAAAGTTGAAACACCCCGGCAAGAGCCCTCTGTGGGAGAGGGCCAACTGCTAAGAAATCCAGAACCCGACCCTAAGGCGCTATCTTTGCCGTCCCCGCCGGATTCTTTTCATCAACCACGCGTGCAGCGACGTCTGCAAAGACAGTGACTTTTGGGATTTAGCACACACACACACACACACACACCCGCCACATACCCCAGCAACAGGATGGAGGGATGACGGGAGACACGTGCACGTGGTCGCAGATAAACAGACAGACAGACGGATAGATCCCCAGGCCCCTTTCTCTCCCCCTGTCCTCCCCCCCTGCACGCGCTCTTCCTCTTTTTAACTCCCCTCCTTCACCGCTCCTCTTCCTTCCCCCGGCTCTCCACCCACTACGATCTGTGTTTTCTGAGGGCCCAACCGCATTCAGAGGATGGCTTAGCTGGAGTTAATTTGAATTTTTAGCTGCGTATCTTTCCAGCCCCCCAACTACTGTTTTACTAGTACGGATGCTAAAGCCGCACCGCACTACTCCCCCTACAGTGCAGTACAGCTAGGAGGACAAGGTCGCTCCAGTGCAGTGCGCTGTTGGCCTCAACGGCCTCAGTGGAACACTCGCCCAACAAACACAACATACCATCCGAGCTGCTGCTTGCCATGTATACCGCTTACACAAAGACACATAGCAAGTAGCGCGAGTAGCGTGCATAAGGTGCCATGCAAGCGCATGCCTATGTAAATGCGATGCGTAGTATTTCTGTCTGTCTGTAGGTTGGTAGCTAGGTTGCGAGTAGTGGACGTTTGGATGTAGGCGTTTGGGGCAAACGGCTTGTTTGGCTTGTCGACTTTGTTGGCTTCCCTTTTTCTGGGGGGCTCTTTCCTTTTTCTGGGGGCCCCTTTTCTTTTTCTGGGGGGCCTTTTCTTTTTCATCATCAGACACAAAGACATGAGGGTGTGTCGCATGCTCGGGCGTCGAGAACATCAATCGCAGTGTTGTTATTGGGGTGAACTCCTTTTTCTTTCCCGGCGCTGCGTGGCTCTAATTTCCGTCCCTAAGTAAGTGGACAAGATAGCTGACGATTAAAGGGACGATTAGAGGGACGATTAGAGGGCGCCACCGCGGTGAGATGTTTCGAGGTGGTGGCAAGTGGGTTTGTGCGGGTGGCTTAGTGGGTCGGATGAGAGGCGCTGCGAGCCTCGCACAGGCGCGGGCGGTTGTACGGACAACAGGAATAGGCGCACGTGACGAGACACGGCCCAGTTCATATGGATCTGTTGCGTGAAAGTTTCAGAGGCGCATTCAGAATTAAGTTCGGTTCATGAGGGCAACTCAGTTACGGTCCGATGTTCACATCGTCAAGAGGCAAGCCCATGGTGTAACCAGCGGTAGGCTGCGGCTACTAACTATCTAAGCAGCACCGTTGCATCTTAGCTTCTGGCGGCGCAAAACGCAGTTAGGTTCTCGGACTACAGATGTACATCGAACGTGACGACGAGGCCTAAGCAAAATGACTGCACCATAATATAAGAGGAGGGTGATCACAATGGTATTTTTGCTTCCGCGAACTTGCAGCAACAGGATGTGAAGCAGTGAAGGGTTGTGGGCTTCTCCGCCGCGCCGTACTGGTACCCATTTTGGCGCGCACAACTGGCCAGCGGGCAAAACACCACAGCAAAACGCAGCACCCACCTTGCAGCGATTTTCTTTTTTGTTTAGCGTCATAGTTTTGCGAGAAATGGATACACCGTCAGTCGGCGGCAAGTTGGCTATCTGTCAGAGACTGACGCATAGACGCGACACACAGCATTGAACGTCAAGCAATCTGCTGTAATATATACAGTAAGATAGACATATAAATATTGGGAGGTAAGGATGCGGCGCTCATCTCCGCCGCGGGAGCCCGGGGTTGGCCCGGAAGGCGCAAAGGTGGGTGATCGTAAAACTGAGCACAGTTTCCACTTTTAATTAAATTCGCTTAACAAACAATTCAAGCCATAATGCCTTTCATGTGGTCTTTTCGCTGCACAGGCGTCAGCTCGGCCTGGGCTGCGTACTGTCCCGACAATGCCCAACAAACGGCAGGCCATCCAGGGTTACGACGTCGATAACAGCCTTGGAAGTCCTCTCTTTCCTCGAGATTATGATCAGCTCCGCAATTTGCTCGGCTCGCCGCTTCCGCCTCTTCACAGTCCCCCTCTCTTCCAGCCCTCACCCCGACGTAGCATCCTCACCTCACCAGCCCGACCAGCGGCAAACCAGCGCCCGTCCAACCAAATCCCCAGTAACAATTCCCATCGCCATAATCCTGATAGCATGGACGCTCTTGCGTCCTTTTTTGCTCCGTCACCCGCGCTGCCAGTACCGCTCTTCAGCCCCAGTGCAGCCGCACCCAACAGCCTTTTCGATACATCCGTGAACCGAGCCAGGGCGGATGTCTTCACACCTACTCCATGCAAGTCAGGCGCTCTTGATCACGTCACAGCGCTTCTACATGATGTCGGCCGAGGGGGCCAAAGTGGCGCCGGCTCGGATCCCATCGGAGTTCATCTTCAACATCAGCGATGTAACAACGACTCGGCTGTGCCAACTAACGCAGCGACGGACCCTCATCATCATGAGGGCGGCAGCGGCGGTAGCGGCAGCGGTAGCGGCAGCGGCGGTACGGCAATTCCAGTCAACGTCGCGTCAGCATCTGCATCCGCTGGCATTAGCTGTACTGCGCAATTGGCGGCAGCGGCTTTGCGCAGCCAGGCAAACAAGGCCTCGTCGTCACACGGATTTCATATGGTGAGAAGGAGTCTACTGAGATTTTGGGGGCAGCCAGTTTCGTTTCGCTCTCGTCTTTTTCCTCTTTAGTGTCAATCCTTTCTAATTGTCAACAACATTCTTTTGGTTTGCGTCTTCCCATTTTTCCAATCGCAAGGTTTTCCTGGTTTCCGCTCATCACATTATTATATTCTACAGAACGTGCTGTTTGCTAAGCACCTAAACATCACAAAATATATGCATGCTGCTTCCTTTTTGCCTCGAGTGCTGTGACCGACACGCCTCGTTTCTATCTTGTACTGCTTTACGGCCGTACTTTTATGTTCCGTACTTTTTACCATGTGCTGTCCGGAACCATCGATCTCCTAACTTTGCCATTTCACCTGCTGCCTCTCTCGGTGTCCTTGTGCCTGGCCTCCACCGCTGTCGCCTTCATTGTAAGATCCACGATGGTGGATTTGGATTTGGATTTGGGCGGAGCCAAGCAACACCGGGATTAATGTTGAGCTTAAGCGGACAAGGTGGGTTTGGGCCCATCCACCACCCGGTGCCGGGCTACCCCTCGGACCTCCTCGGTATCTCGGGCCCAGGCTCGCACATGTTTGGCGGCAGCGGCGGCGCTGCCGCCGGCATTGATGGCGGCAGTGGGAACGGCGGAGGATTGTACGGCAGCTTCTGTGGCATCGCCAATGGCGGCGGCGGTGGTTGCGCGGGATTACAGCTCAACGTGAAGGACATGTTGTTGGCGCATCACGATGATGACGACCGCAGCGGCGGTTTGCTGACCTCCATGCCGTCTTTTTGCGGCGGTGGTGGTAGCGGTGGTGGTGGCGGTGGTTTCGGATCTGGCCTGGGTCTGGGGCGACCCCGAAGCCGCTACTTGGATTTTTGTACGACGCCACGCCACTCTGCGGACGCCGCCGCCAGCGGCGGCGCCGCTGCCGCACCTGACGCTACCAGCGGAGACGGTGCCCGCGCTGGCGGCAGCGGTAGTAGCGGAGGTGTGGCGTCAAACGTCGGGGCTGGCGGCGGCAGCGGCAGTAGTGTAGGCATTGGCGAGGGCGTCGGCGTCGTCGGCAGTGTCGAAGGCGGAAGGTGCGGCGGCGGCGGCATCTACCCCGGCGGCCTATCGTCGCGTCATCACGGAGGGGGCCTACTACTGGCGCCGCAGCTCCCCGCCCCGCCGTTGCTGCAAACCGAAACCAACACAGCGACGACGGGCAGCAACACCGGGCAGCACTCCAGGGGCGCTGACGGCGCCGCCGAGTCGCCTCCGGAGTCCCTGGACGAGCCGCAGAAGCCCGTGCTGTCGTACGTGAGTTAGCTACCCCCATGCTCGCCGTTGCCGTGTGCTGACAATTGGCACTTTTTTGCTGTTGCTTAACTGCTTAAACGGATAGCCTGTTGTCGTAGTTTTTGTTTTTATTATCGCTATGAGGCGGTGGGTTTGTCAATGGTGGTGGTAAGTGCGGGTGTGGGGTTTCGTCATGGGGTTCCCTCAACTGCACTTGGTTGTGTTTTTATGGAGATATGTAAGGTTTGGCACCGGCGTATGCGCATACACGGGTTTATGTGACCCTACTACCACCCAAACCCCCCCCGTGGGGAGAGGAGCCGGTAGTGGGGGCACGTACGTGTGAAATTGATATGAGCACGTACGCGTGCGCGCGAAATTTCGGTTTTACATTGATTTACCATTGATGAGAAGCTCAATCCTCCTCTGCGCTGCTTTGTGGGGTTCGTTTTGGGTGTTTTGTTTAAATGTTAAGTTAAGGGGTTGATGGCTGAGAGCGGTGAGCAATGGGGCGCGAAGGGGCACTGGTCCGAAGGCCCACCACGGAGCAGTGAGCGACAACGCCACCACCCCAACCCCCCCAGGTGGTCAAACATGCTGTGTATGTGGCTCTGGGGGCGAGCTGGAAACCCGTCCGGCTATTTTCCCCCCCCCCCGGGGGGTTCGTGTGTGGTTCGTCTTCCCCCCCCCGCCGGTTTTAAAAGCTTCCGACCCTCTTTCTCCCACTGTTGAAATCTGCGGGCTTCCTTCATCATCCCCCTCCTCCCCATCCCTCTCCTTTTGCACTGAAACACGGCCCCCGCCCCCGTCCCCCATCTTTAATTTGACTTTGGGGAGCAACGTACCGAGCCCTTTCCTTCCTTATATCTTTACTGTTATCGTAGTTGAATTATTATTTTAAATGGGTTCCGGCGATTTCATTCTTCTTATTGATTTGTGTATTTTGTATATAAATGAAGTGTTTTCAACTATCAGCTTTCCCTCATTGAGTTTGAACCTGCTGCAACCCAACCCACACAACGTATTCACGCAGCCGTCACCAAACGAGGAAACCCGGATCGCGATTGCCGGGGGTTGTGTGAAGGTGGTGGAGTCAGGAGCCTCCCGCACGACGGTGGAAACGCCCGGAGTGGAGTTGGGTTGCGGCCCGAGCGGCGGTGGCGGCGGAGCCAGCGGCGGCATCACCTCCACGGAGGTGGCGGCGGGGCCCGCGGCCGCAGCAACGGGCACAGAGCGCATGGCCACTGTCTCAGCCTCCGCTGCTGGCGGTGGCGGCGGCGGCGGCAGCAACGGCGTCCTTGTGCCTTCTTCTGGAGGGTCTTTTGGTCTCCGTACGGAATCCTTGCTCGTACTACCGGGAACGAGTGTCGCCGTTCCCGGTGGCGGCGGAGGGGGCCTTATGGTACCCGTGTCAGGTAGTGGCCGCGGCGGCGGCGGCAACGACGGCGGCGGTTGCGACTTATCGTCCAGTATGGAGGCCGATACGATGCAGTACAGCGCTGGCGGCAGGGGCAGCGGTGCCGGCGGTGTTTGCCTGGACAGGGACCTTGGGATGTCCTCCCCGTCGTTGCTGCCGCCACCGCCGCTCTCTTTGGGCGGTCTGATGCCGTCTTCATTTTCAGTCCCTCCACATCTGCAACCTAACCATCACCACCTCCAGCATCACCATCATCATCATCATCATCAGCAGCAACAGCAGCAGCAGCACTACCAAAGTAGCGCCATGACATCGTCAATGATGGATTTGTCGATGGCTCGAGGCGGTTCCGGAGCCGGAACAGGGGCCTCCACGCTGATGATGGTTTCGGAGGGTGGCGGGGCAATGCCGGGATTACAGCCGTTGTCGCAGATGCAGATGCCGCTATGCGAGGATGATAAGAGCTTTGTTAAGCGACAAATTCAGCAACAGCAAATGCAGCAACAGCAAATGCAGCAACAGCAAATGCAGCAACAGCAACCACTAGTGAGGGGTGGGAGTGGTACGTTTGCAGTTCGTATGGCGAGTGGTGGTAGCGGAGCGGGTGGCGGCGGCGGCGGCGGCGTCAACGGAAGCAGTGGTGGACTTCTTCAAGGCCGCGACGCGGCGGCGGCGGTGGCGGCGTCAGGCGGCTGCGAGCGGCCTGGCGTAGGGCTGCCGCCGCGTAGCGGTGGCGGCGGCGGCGGCGGCATAAATGTCATGCCCGGTGGCGGCATGCCTGGTGCTGCTGTTGCCGCGGCAAGCGTTGGCGGTGCTGGCGGCGGCGGTGCAGGCAATGGCGGGGCCTCTACGCCGTCCACCTTGCAGCGGCCGCAGCGGACTCGTACGGCAAGTTCGTATGGCGGCGGCGGTGCTGGCGGCGCCATGAACGAGGGAACGGTGATGTCGATGCGCGGCGCGCCTTCGATGGATTTTGGTGGGTTGGGTGCGGGCTTGGCAGGGACGCGGTTTAAAGCTTGTGGGGAGGTTCAAAGCCGACTGCTTTATGTGGTGCGTTTCGAAAGAGTCCATGCTTTTCTGTCGTACTGCTTTTTTGTACCCTTTTCGGGCAGTATTAACCTAAACGGGTGGTCAAATCTGCTGCCAGCCATCCGGCAATTCCCGCGTCCCCCGGATTGTTTTTATTACGATGATGTAATCTTGCATGTCATATCCCCCGATTTCGCTTACAACGCGGTTCTATTATGCTTATCTTAGGGCTATTTAAAATTCTTATAATAACTAACTCGATGTTAGCTCAATGTTACTCTCTCTTTCTCTGCGGACAGTACGACACAGGACATTCGTGGCTTTAGGATTTAGGGCATACCTACGGTACGGCAGTTTTTTTCTTCTAAAAATAGGGATTACTAGTTACCAAGTGGTTACTGAGAAAATAATTCCCTTCCAGAAGGTGATCGGTCACTAGGAAATATGTTTCTTAGAGTCACCTGCCAGTATTTTATGTAACCAGGTGGTCGCCGGGCGGTCAAGGTACTTGCAGACGTTCAGACAGACCATGTCCTAGGGGTGCCTATTCCCCCATATTGGGGGCCTATGGCCTCTAGAGTTTTAATGATGGAGGTTGTGTGGTGCGTGCGTGATGGAGTTTTGGCTGGCGCGGCGTTTGGCGCCGCACGCTGGCCTGTTTTGGCTTGTTACCTCACTCTCTATATAAATATGGATTCAAATAATCACATTTATTTTTTCGCCTTTGCATTTTATTTTTTCTATGTCTTGATGGTATTGCTGTCCTTGATTGTGTTGCTGTCGCCCGTCATTGTACATTATTAATCTTGGCAAGACCGTCCTTAGTATTTAGTATTGCAAAGGGCATTGTGTCGCAGCTACAGAGTCGTCCTATCATCCTCCTCCTCTCCTTTTACTCCATTCCCTTTTTTTCCTTGCCCTTACCTGCTGAACCAACTGAAGAAACGAGCTTCCGTAGTCGGAAGTCGTTACTGTAACCGTCTGCTGAAAAACGGTTACATGATATTTTTGGACGGGCAGTACGAATTGTCACTAGCGCTTGCTGGTTCTTGTTGAGTTGGAGTTTTGAGTTATACTGCCCATCTCCTCAGGTGATTGATGCAAAATAAACATGAGTCCTATGTGTTTTGCGAACTCCCTGTGATGCATGTATTTGTGAACATGGTTTTGGAGATTCAGATGTAGTGGTTCCGGAGCTGGAACTCTCACCGGACTTTCCGGGTCGCGGTGGCATTAACGCCAACGCTAATCCTAACGCTCACCGTTCCAGCGGCGCGGGCGGTGGCTTGACCCAGATACAGGGTGGGGGGCCCAACCGCGGTCGTCGTACATCAGAAAAGTACGTCGTACATGTTGTATATGTGGTATCCTGTCGTGCCCTGTCGTTCATGGCTTTTCCCTAAGTAGACACTTAAACCCTAACCCGGCTGTGCCTACGTCGGAGTAGCTGATGTGGCGGTGAGGGTGTTTGCAATGTCGTGCCTGTGCATTGCCTGTGTGTGTAAGGTGACACAGAAGGGCACTGTATGTGTATGCGTGTATGCGTGCGTGTGTGTGTGTATGCGTGTCTGTGCATGCGTGTCTGTGCATGCGTGTCCGTGTGTGTATGTATGCGTGTCTGTGTGCGTTCCCGGGATCTCCAATAAGCGACATGAAAAGGCAGCACATGTGAGCGTGCTATCGTCATGATCGTTAAACTGCCCTTGGCCACTGCCCGTAACTCCCCGCCGCTCGGTACTCCAACAACCTGCCTGACATTTCCCCCCCGCAGCAGCTCCAAGTCGTGCCGTTGTAAGAAGAGTCAGTGTCTCAAGCTGTACTGCGACTGTTTCGCGGCGGGGCAGTACTGCGGGTCGTGCTCCTGCATCTCGTGTCACAACCGGCCGGAGCATGCGGATCGGGTTCTTCAGCGGCGTGAGGACATCGCTGCGCGAGATCCCCAGGTGGGGTGGGGAGGGGAGGAGGGAAGGAGGGGAGGAGGGGAGGGGAGGAGGGAAGGAGGACGGGGAAGGATAGTTTGGGGGTGGAAGGGGGGAAGGCGGGAAGGGTTCATGAAGGGCGGGGGGGGGTTAAGGGGGGGGTAAGTTAGGGTCGTGTATGTGGGGGAGTTGGGAATGGATTGTGAGAGGGACAAGGGGTGACTTAGCTTTAGGATGGGAAATGGTATGTTGGCAGGTTTGTTTTTGGAAGACCGGTTCGTGGGGAGGGGGGGGCGGGGTGGGGGGTGGGACAGGGATGCAGCGGGATGGGGTGAATGATGATGATGATGATAGTGTCGGTGTCGTACGCAGTCGGTTGCTCGTTAAAACGCGTAAATGTACGGCGTCCTTTCCTTGTCGGGACGCTCGACGACAGGCCTTCACTCGGAAGATTCAGTTGGCTCCCAACGGTAATGGAAAGCACAAGCGTGGCTGCAACTGCCGGAAGAGCCACTGCCTGAAGAAGTACTGCGAGTGCTACCAGGTGGGCGGTTGTACGGGTGGCTGTACGGGTGGATGCATAGAGATTACCAGAATTATAATCGGTCGTTACCCGTGCTGCTCCGCACCGTGCATTGAACCATACCGTGTCACATGGTGTGTGTGTATGTATGTGTGTGTGTATGTATGTATGTATGTATGTATGTATGTATGTATGTATGTATGTATGTATGTATGTATGTATGTACCATGTGCCACAATGTGGTTCAATGCACGGTACGGAACAACGCGGCTGCACATATATGTATGAGTATGTGTGTGTGTGTTGCTGGTGTGTCAGTGGGTGGGTGGGTGGGTGAGCGATTTCAAGCATCCTCCAGCACCTCCACCACCTCCACCACCTCCACCACCTCCACCACCTCCACCACCGTATCGCGGCAGGCACTTGGCATCAGGCTCTGGGGGGGAAGGGACTGTCGCATCATAGGGACTGTAGCATCGACTAAACATGTTGTGACAGAACTCACCAAGGCTCTTTTTATTAACACACCGGGTTAGCCCGGTGTGAGGGAAAGATGGACAATACAGAGCGGACACACGCAGATGGTGTCTCGGATAGCACCTACCCGCAGCAAGGCAACTCATGTCCCCCCGATCGACCGACCAGCGTTTCTCCTACTCTACCATATTAGCGCCACACGTATGCACAACATATGCGCGTGCACCGGGCCGTAAGAGCGCACTGTTCTCTCGCTCGCTCGCTCGTTCACATACACGCACACAACACACCCTGCGGCATGCCTGTCATACACGACCCCACGCACCCTCCTCCCTGCCGCCTCGTGGCCACCTACCTGGTCTGGTTGCCCGCTTTCAATGGAATCACAAGCGACAAGGAAAGGTTGGGGGGGATATGTGGTCCTTGGGGATCAGCGACCATGCATTCACAGACAGACAGACAGACACAGACACACAGACAGAGCCAACATGGCGTTCGGGAAAACAGTTCAAATCTGCTTCCAGTCACTTGTCGCCTTACAGGACAGAAGTTCCTGTAGGACTTTGATTTGGCTGAACGTATGTATGCATGTATGTATGTATGTATGTATGTACGAACGTACGCATGTATGTATATATGTCTCTGCCTGTGTTGCCCTCTCTTCCGAGGTCGCAGGGCGGTGTGAAGTGCGGCATCCAGTGCACGTGTATGGAGTGCGAGAATATGGACGTGGGCAGCTCGCAGGAGGGCGCTGGGTGGGTCCGGGGTGGGGGGAGGGGGGTTCGGCATTCGGGCTTTGCGGGGGAAGGGGGGTAGGAAAGGGGGTAAGAAGCAACGTGGGGGGTCACGCGCTTCGGGAAGGGTAGGCTTTCGTTATGGGCCGCGGGGAAGCAGGTAGTGTGTGGGGGCGGGAGATTTAGGGTTGTGAACGAATAACGTGGTGGCCTGGTTGACTGGCACATATACTGTTGATGTTGTTACAAGTTACAAGTTACAAGTTACAAGTGCCGCACGAGTGCGGGGGTGTCCGTCAAAGCCGGGAGGCCATGGACTATATGTATTGAAAGTTGATTACACCGTACGACCGACGGCGGCTTTTGGGTCCTGCCAACTAGACCCCTCCTCATCCAGTCACCCAACATCCGTAGAGACAGATCAGCCACCACCACCATCTGCGAAACTTAGTCCATCAACTAGACCTCATCTCCACACCTCAGCAGCGTTAGTAAACCTAGACCTCCCGAACAATGTCGGGGGTCTGACCAGGAATCGAACCCGGAACCTTCATATACACGAAGGCGCCACCAGACCAGACCGTTACAGGGTGGTTAAGCTTCACCAGTGGCCTCCTTCCCGAAGCAATTCCCTGCTCTCCCCTGCTAGAGGGGCACCCTAAGCCATTCACCCCGTCCGACTTCAGAGTGTACTCTTTGAGTTTGGCAACTCACCACCAGCATCCAACCAAATCTAGCGGATCAACGGCGCGTCAACTTAGTTCCTGGTCAGCTCGCGAGTTGATTTTATCACGTCCTACACCGTCCACAAGATGGGGGGCCACCTCCCATTTCATCGCCTCTCAAACACCCCGAGAGGTCGGCAGGCAGATTTGAACCCGGACGCGCCGGGACGCGACGGGAGCAGAAGCCAGGCCTTAACCTCTGCCAGCCGCCTGCCTTATACTACTGTTATATGTATGTATGTATACAGTATATATATGTGAGATTCGCGTGAGATTCGCGTTCGCGTTTTTACAGTGTGTGTTTGTATGTATGTATGTACCTTTGTGACAGTGTGAGTTATTTTTTTGGGGTGTGGCGGTCGGAGCGGGAACCTGCTGGTGGGTTACGTAGCTTGACTGCCCCTGCCTGTTCACCTGTCTGTCTCTCTGTCTGTCTGTCTGTCTGTCTGTTTGGTGGGGTGGCGGGTGTTGCGAGCAAGCTATCTGGGTTGGCAGTTCTTGCGGAGGTTCTTGCCTGCAGAGAGCGTATGTTCAACAGGAATTACCGAAATGTTAACCCATGAGAATGGCATAAATACATCACGTGATGTGAACTTGTTTGGGTTTGTTGCATCGCAAAGCTGCTCAATCGCCGCCATGACTCCACCGCTTGGTGGGAGTCATGGGAATAGCTATAAATAAGTGACTTGGGGGGGCGGGAAAATAAGGTAAGAGGGCAACTCATTGGGGCAGCACATTTCTTTTTATTGTGATCGTTTCAGGATGTATAAATGGAAAGCTGGGTGGCGGTAAATGCAAACGCGCGCACCGGCGATGTGCTCGTCCGCCCCAGCTTTCTCCCATCCTGCCAGCACCCAACGATTTTCCTGTGAACGCAGCGGAAGAGTGTACGTTTGAGTCCCTGAAGCTCCCCCAGCTGCCCGCCGTCGTGATTTAGTGGTTAATTGTGTAACTTCATGGTTGTGTAGCTTAATGCGTTGGCCCCCCCTCCCCGGATGCGTGCGCCTGGGTGGGTGCAGTGCGAGGGGAGCTTTGAAGCGCGGGGGTGCCGCCGCCAAAGGGGCGGGTGGGCGGGCTGGTGGCGGCGGCGGGGGCGGCGGCAGCCGAGCGGGCAGCCGCCGCAGCTCCGCCACCGGCATGTACGACGACTACGCGCCATCGCCGCCGCTGCCATCGACGTCGGGTTGCTCGGACGGTCCATCGCCGACGCCTTCTCAGGGTACTGTGCCAGGCTCCGTCATGCTACAGCCGCCGCCGCCGCTGGCGTCCATGCCGTCGTTGACGGTGGCGGCGGCGGCGGCGGCCGCGGCGGCAGCGACAACGGCAGCAACAACGAACCACTTTGCCATGAGCCTTGGCAGCGGAGGCGATGGCGCAGCAGGCTGTACGGCGTCAATGCCGTACGGTGGCGGACATGCGTTATCGGCCGGCGTAGTACAGTTTTCAGAAGATGGGACTGTTAGACGGAATTCGACAAACAGTTTGTCGCACTCGCAGGCCCCCCCTGTAGCTCAGCCGCCACAGCTGCTACCGCCATCGCAGCAGCAGCAACAGCAGCTACAGTCGCAGATGCAGTCAATGCCGGCACCGTTGCCACCGAACTTTCTACGACAGCAGCAGCAGCAGGAGGTGCAGCTACAGCCTATGCATTCACATCCGCATCACCAGCAGCAGCAACAGGAGCAGCAGGAGTCGCCGTCCCTGATATGTGGGGAGATGCTACAGCAGCAGCAGCAGCAGCAACAACAGCAGCAACAACAACAGCAGCAACAACAACAGCAGCAGCAGCAACAGCAGCAGCAGCAACAGCAGCAGCAGCAACAGCAGCAGTATTATCAGCAGCAGCAGATGGTCAAACGGTCGCTGCCACCCGAATTGTACGGCAGCGGCAGTGGCAGCGACGCTGTCGCGCGTGACACTTGCTGCCGTGGCGATGGCGGCGACGGTGACGGTGAAATTCTCCCGGGTAACCTCCGGGACTTTCAGGGTGTCGTACGGGACGAGATGGACGAAGATGCGGAGGAGGAGGAGGAGGAGGAGGAAGGGGATGGTCCATCCCAGGAGCAGTTAGGTCCGTTGAAGAGGCGGCGGAAGCAGGAACTGGGACGCCGTACGGCGGCAACGCCGCTGCCGCTGCCGTCGGACCACCCCACAGCTCCCACAAGCGGTACGACAAACAGCGGGGGGCGGAGCTGATATATATACCGGATATCAGACGAGCTGGGAGCTGGGGACGGTGTCGTTGGTTGTTGTGGTTGCGGAAACCGTTAGAGGAAACCGCTCTATCGGAAGGGGGCATGGAGCGAGCTTACCGCGCCCCAATAGTCCCCCCACGACAGCAGTGCATGCATACATACATACATACATACATACATACATACATACATACATACATACATACATACATACATACATACATACATACATACATACATACATACATACATACATACATACATACATACATGCATACATACATACATACATACGGAAAAGGCGTTGTGCTACATCTTGCTGTATTTATGGAGCTCTTCCCCCAGGCAGGGTGCCGCTTACCGCGCCGTACACACATGTTTCCAGCGTCGTACACCTGCCTCTAGGATATCCTCTCTCTCATTTTCTCTAAATGGCTCACATCATCCCGAAAACCCAACACCGCAAACCTTTTCTCACGCGCATGCAGAGAGCTCCGCCCTAGCCACCGGCGGCACCTGGGCTGAAGAAGCCCGGAACAGCGCAGGCTGCAACAACCGCCGCGGCGCGGCGGCGACAGTTGCGGCGGCTCATGCAAGCGATAATAATGCCGATAACGCCTACCCCCGGACGGAAGGAGGAGGTATGGGGGACATGACTCTCGCCGCCGTCGGCACGGCTGGGGGGGACTTGGGACCGTCAGGCGCTGGCGCGGCTGCGGCAATGGCTGCGGCTGCTGCTATGCCTCCGCCACCGTCGGGCCAGGACTTGCGTTTCTCTCTGGGTCCGGAGCCCCCGGGCTTTACCCCCCGGGGCTTGGGGATATCTTCGCTTGACGTCGTGTCGCCGCCGCCGCTGTCCATGCTCACACACTTGGAGTCTGACACAGACAGCGACGGTGGCGGCTTGGAGGGCGCCGGAGGAGGTCTTGGCTGCCGGCCGCGGCGGCGTAGCGCACAGCACCAGTACCGGCAACAGTATATGAATACGGGAGGTGCGGCGGTGGCAGCAGCTGCCGGCGGCGGCGGCGGTGGCGGCGGCGGCGCTGCAGACGTACCTCATCCGTCGGCCTTACGGCGAAACGGCGGCTCCCGCCATCAAAGCCACGGTATGGTGGGCCTTGACGTCGGAGTTATGGACTTCGACGACTCGTCGAGTGCGCTCGCGGACGCCATGATCACCGCCATTGCCGATGAGGCCTCGAGGGGGCCTATGGCTGGCGGCGGCGAGTGTGTCGCCACCACTGCTGGAGCTGCCGGTACGGCGGCGGCTGCCGCCGCCGCGGCTGCAGCGGCGGGGCGTCACCAGCACCGTCAGTCTGGAGAAGCTGCCGCCGCCGCCGGTAGCGATGCCGCCACAGCTCGGGAAGGCGGAGGCGTCCTGCTTTGCGGCGAACTTTTGGGTTCGGGGTGCTTACTGGATGATGGCTCTAACGACATGTTCCTAGCGGGATTTGAACCCAACTCTGTAGAGGGTGCCCGTGGGTGCGGCAGCTTTGGCTTTGGCAGTGGCGGCAGTGGTGGCGGCTTTTTGAGCCCACGCTTTGGCGGCATGGGTGGAGGCAATTCCTCCTTTGGTTTGGCGACGTCCCCGACGGCTTTCCCGCGTTCTGGCGGCGTCAACGGCAGTCTTGGGTTGTGTGCCGTATCGCCGCAGTGGCGTGTACGGCCGCCAGGTCTTGGCCCGATGGGTGAGGTCGCCGCCGCCGTCGGGCCGCCGTTGGGGCTTATGTCGTCCAATTCGTGGCTCCACCTGCCGCACCGCCGACCGTCCCGCTTCGCGCCCACTCGGGTAAACGGCGGCAGCGGCGGCGGCGGCAGCAGCGCAATGTCGTACGACCCATCGCAGCTTCCGCCGTGGCCACCGGTGGCGTCCGTCACAACATGTACGGTGGGCGGTCCGCTGGTTCCGGAGCTGTGTGGACTTGACTCGGGGCTGGCACTCAAGGGTGGGCATCTGGACATGGGAAGGGCTGGCGCGGCGGCGGCGGCTGCCGCCAGCGTGCACACGCTGGTGTCTCCCGTACGGACGTCGGCGATGTCCGCAGCTGCCCTGGCGAGGCGGAGGGAGACTGGCGGGCCGGAGGGAGACGCTTCCCGGGCTCCCTCTTACCAGGTGCTTGGTGGTGGTCGCGATGGTTTGATTGTTGCAAAATAATGTTGACAGCTATACGTGATTTCTTTTGTTTCTGATTTCGTTTTTGATGCTCTTGTTACTTTTTCCCGCTGGCTGCCTTGTGTCATCTATTATAATGTAATTTCACCACATTCGCACACTGCACAATTGGATTATTCATTCTCACCCAAAGCCACGTGTTATCAGAAGCGTTTTCATGGTGTCCTGTTGCCTGGGGCCGCCGCACACACCTCTTCCCAAGGCTGCTCGTCGTTTGACATTTCCAGCACCTCCAAATGGCGGTTAAGGTGGTTAAGGCACCTCTCGCACGGGCACGGGCACGTCCCGACGATGCGATGTGCCATGTGCATGATGGGGGGGGCAGGTTATTCGCGTCTCTCTGCATGCATGCCACACAAGCCCCCTTTGGTGTACGTACCGTGTCGCCGCACGGTGTCATCATGCTGTACTGCAGGGGGCCCCCAGCGGCTGCGGCGACGAGCAACGGGAAAGTGGCCCATGGGTCGTTCCGGCAGCACATCATCATTTGGAGGCCGCCTCATCACCATCGAAGCAACAGCGCTGTTTCATGGCGACGGCCGCTGGCGGCGGAGGCAACCTGGCGGCACCGCTACAGCTGCCACAGCCCTCGGCGATGACCCCCGGCGAACAGCCCCAGTTTGACATCCTAACAGGCGGCTCTGGCGGTGGCCACCCCCGGACGCAGCCGCCGGGCGGCGGCCGTGGCGGAAGCCGCAACGGCGGCGGCTGCGCCGGCGCTGCCGGCGGCGGCGCCAGCGCCAACCGCCCGCCACGGGCCGGAAGTTTTGTCGCAGACAAGGAGCAGCTTAAAGCGAGTGCGCTGCAGTACATGACCCAGCGGCTGGGATGTGGAGGCACACGTGGGGTGAGTTCTTTGGTTGAGGGTTTTCCTAGTACGTGGTCAGGGGTGAGGAAGCGGACTTGC